AAAAAATCCCCATCGTCTTTAACTTCTTTCTTTACAACCACCACTGCACGTTTAGAACTTCCAGCAAACATAACTCCCATTGAACAATAATTTCAAAACAAACCTAACTTCATCATTTATGACTCATGATCATTGATGATTATGGGCAATATTTTAGGAAAAAACCCATGATTTAACAATAGCACCTTCACGTGCACGTCAAAGTGGTTTGGCTCCCTGTGTGGTAACAATAGCAAATTCCAATTTAGCATGTGCGACAAAAAGTGGGGTTTGAACATGCAGATTGCAAAATGGGGAAATGGATAAATTGGTTGAAGTAGATCTTTGTGGCTGTGGCGAAGTAGATCATTGTCCTCAAATTTGAAATCTATCGTAGCTTAGATATGAGAATGGAGAAAGAGTTGAAATAAATGGGTGAGGAAGATGGAGGGGCCCATAAAAATCACCACGGAGGAGGAGCTGAAGGTGGAAGGTTGAAGATTGGACATCGAAGAAAAATAAAAGAAAATTGAAATATGATTTGAGAACACCTGCACACATCCATGGTCACCGACGGTTGTTGTCAGAAGGGTGAGATTCAGCTGTCGTCAATCCAGTCACAGCAGCCGTTGCTGTCGCAGTTGCCAATTTGGTCCTCCATCGTGTTGGCATTGATGGACATGGTGGGTGACGAAGCTGGGTTGAGCACGAAAGAACAGAGGTTAAGGGTAAAAATGAGAAAACAAGGAAGGAATTTGGAGGGGGGGTGGAAGTGAGTTCTTTAGGTCCAATGATGGAACTCACTTTCACCATTTTTGATGGAACTTGATTCTATAAGTGAAATGAGATCCAGTTTTTCAAGTATTCTATTCTTTTTTATTTCACTTCTACTCTCACTTCTTCAATTCTAATTTCACTCTACCAAATGAGCTATATATATTTTTTTGAAGGATTGAATGTTAAAAAAATATTTTTAAGTATTTTAAGGTGTAATTATTATTTTTTTAAAAAAAATATCCCTAATAATTAATAAATTATTTTATATTTATTTTAAGGTGAAACCTCTATTAAATGAGAGTAAATGTGAAAAAATAGTATTAGTTTAAAAATAAGTGATTATTTTATTGAGAAATAAAATTTAATTAAACATAATCTAATATTCATAAATTGAATGAAAACTTAGTACAGCATATTAAAAAGAGAGGCTGACCAATCATCATTCACCTCTTTCAGAAATCCAAGGTGAGCTCTAAACCATGTGCTTTTGTGGCAAGAGAATGCGCATCTCTGCCATGTTTTCTTTTAACCAAAAAGAGCAACGGATTGAGGTTTTTATGGTCTAATTGGTTAGACCGGTGGTCGAATCGGTGACATAAAAATTAAATAAAAAATAAAATTTATATGTGCAATTATATAAATAAAACATTAATTTATTAATAGTGCTTGGGACCTCAACCTCAAAAGCTAGATACTTGGATCATTGGAGCTATAGGTAGAGACATGTCAGTACAAGCTTGTGATCTCAAAGGAAAATGTTGGATCTGGAGGCATACTGTCATGCCATGACTCACAAGCTTTCGATCTCAATACTAAAGGTTAGATCTTTAGAGTTGGAAGCAGATGTTGGAAGAAAAGTTAGAGATTGAGTTTAGGCCATAAAGAAGAGATTAGAGATTAGAGAAGAGAAGAGAAGAGAAGAGAGAATTAATGATTAGAAAAGAGAAATTGTGAATCTAAGCAACTTAGCCTAATTTTTTTTAATTTCTTGACTTTAAACCGAGTTGACTCGGGTTGACCCGAGTCTGGTTCTCGGGTCAAAGCCGATTCCCTGAAAACTGGCCAATTCAACTCGAGTCAAATGCCAGATTGATTCAATTGGTTGAACTGGACCGTCCGGTCCGGTCCGGTCCGGTTTTAACAACATTGCTTTTAACTGAGTAACTGACTATCCTCGTGTTATTTTGGCATTGGAATGTTACAGTGTGCGTCTCATTGTCTCTTGTTTATTATGCTGATGCAAGTCTACTTCGTCCATTTTATCATGTGTGATTCAGCGGCTGAAACTTATACTTAATGGTACAACGTCATTTTAAGTAACGCAATCTAAGCCATGCATTTCTTTAAGAAATATTGATTGTGGATGGCAACACTGCATCTCTTGCGCAGTAACATCATGCACTTGAATTTGAATTTAATGGGTGACAGAAATGTATTCAACTATTTTAATTACAGTTATTAGATTTTACCAAGATACTTTCTTCTAAAATTTTAAGATTCAATGTTTTTTAATATTTCATAACAAAATCTCTGTGCCACATAAGATGCTCAATACACTTGAGTGAATTTAGATTATTCATGAGTCCAAATCCTTATATCATGCATGGAGCGCATAAAGCATATATGGAAAATAGGTAGACACAAAGAATGATGAGAGCAAGCTTCTAATGGCTTCAAGTGCAATGGTAGAGTGAGAAAGAACATTTCAAAAAAACACACTTGAGAATAGGAGTCGTGTTCAGAGGAACCAAAAAGCTCTTTTGCTTTGATGTTTAAATTTTTGCTTCGTTAGATTTGATCATGAAATCACAATATAAACTAGTGTTTTAAAAACTAGACTGAATCGGCCAATTCAATCGATTGAACTGAAAATTGACTCTTGGTCTGATTCGGTTGACCATTTAGAACCTAGCCATAAGAGAATTGGTTGAGGACAAAAAAAATCGATCAAAAACTAAAAAATTTGATTGAAAACTGGACCAATATCCTTAAAAACTGGTCTGAATTATTTAAAAAATTAATTAAAATAAAGAACAGTCAAGAATAATTAATATTAATCATGTATTAATTAATAATATTGTCACGTCCTAAAATTTTAACATGACTGACATGAAATATATGTACAAATTCACATCCCTAAAGCTTCAAATAAGAAAAGTTCTAAATTAATGTATCAAGTTTTATTTTTTACATAAATCAAAACATCAAAATTTTTATAAAATTTCTGCAGTACCTCCCCTCCCTTAAAGGTAGGATCCACCAAAATCTCTTCAACAAAACAAAAATTTCAACATATATCCAACAATATAATTCTTTGCTCCTCAGCAGCAAATAATTAACATAACAAAAAAAGGCAGGACCTTAACTATAGTTAATGTGGAGCTCTCTAAATCGAACTTCCAAAAGATACTATATAGGTTTTCGAGTTTTACATAAATAAGATGATATTCTCAAAAAAAATCTTCTAGTCAATTCAATAATGAGCCCATCAGAGATCAGTAGGGAGTACAAAATCAGCTTTGATATCTGAGACCAAATAAAATATTTTCCAGTGAATAACGTCCCAACAATAAATAATTGAACATGATTAAAAAGGAAAGTTTGAAATAATTATGTAAGTCAAATAGACAACAATTTTCATAAAAATTTAATAAACTTCAAAATAAAATGACTCTACAAAATTTTAAAAATTCTTAAACCATTGAACTATCATAACAAATGTTTTTATCACTTGATTTTCAAAAAAAAAACACGTAAATGAAATAAATAATTGTAAATAATTTACTAGATAAAAACTAATAGAATATAAAATCACCAAATAATCAAATTCACTAATTTTTTTTGTTTTTTTTTGAACTTATTAGAACAATAAACAAATGTGGACACATAGTCCACGAGGGTAAATAACCGAACACGGCTTATGTCACGAATACAAACGTGGACACACAGTTCACGAGAGTAAGTAACCGAACGTAGCTGAAGTCACGAAACAAACGTGGATACACTCCACGAGGGTAATACTAATCAAACACGGCTTGAAGCCACGAAACAAACGTGAGTACAATGCTCACGAATAACCATCCCTTCGTTCCACGTGCGTTGGCCATCGCACGGGGCTAGCACCTCCTATACACACCCTGCTAGCTAGGTGTACCATGGCGCCCCAAGGGCTAACGGAATTGACGTTAGCAATCAATGTTCTATATAAAGTCCCTTTCAAATTCAATTTCAAACATGCGAGAAATTGATCATTATTCAATCAAATTTTCCTTTTCAATGTCGAACTCGCATGAATCATTTTTCCGTAGCAATTCAATAATTTTCAAAATGAAATTCCACAATTAAAATTTCAGCATGTATTTACTGATTGACTAAAATGATCAATTTTGATAAAATAATTTCACAAAATAAAATAATTTAATCAATAAAATATCTCATAATCACGTTATTGTCATAAAAGAACTTGCATAAAAATGTAATATTTGAATAAAGAAGATTTTAATGAAATATCAGTTGGGATGCTATCCACTTACCTGAGATATTCCCAAGTACATAAATTACTCCTAACCCGTTGCTTTTATAATATTGTTTGCTTCTTAGTTCTCTAACATCCAAGTGATATCATCGTTATTTCCTTTATACATCTCACAAATTCAAAAATATATCACCCATTTTTTTTATCGAACCCCTTAAGTATATCCCTTAACAAGTCATAAAACAACATTATGATTTATAAATCATCAACAATAAAATTCCCAACATTTGATTGGTGGCAAAATGATTTCATATTCAATTTCCTTTACAATTTTCAAGTTAACTACCATTAAATAACACCCTCAAATTAGTCATGCTTCTTATTATAATCAACAGAATTTTAAAAATATAAAATTAAGCAAACTCTCCAAATACTATTTTATCAACCAAACCTTATTATAATATTTAAATTTTAATATTAAGCTCTTCTCTTTCATTTTCATTCCAATAAATATCCAACCATTCTACGACATCAAGTCATCATACTTTCCAATGAAATTTTCTTGCCATTTCTCATAAATTCTTCAATATTAGTCTATAAATTAACCCCGCTTCTTAGCATCACCCCTTCAACATAACTATTATTACATATATATATATATATATATATATTGTAGAAAATCAGACCCTGTTTATGAGATACAAGAAATCACAAAATCGGTGCACACAAGAAATCACAATCCACGCATACAAGAAATCGACGCAGGGGAGAACAGAAATTTCTCACATTAGATCATTAACGTTGGAGACAGCATGAAGAAGGAAGGAAGAGGAGATGCAACGCGGAACAGGGGAACTTAACACTGCTACACGTTCAGAGAAGAGGAAGAATCAATGGCACTATCACGGTAACCAGCAGCGGACCGACAATAATAAAGGGAAAGGGAAGAAGATTCGAAGACCCACAATCACACAGCCAGACTGATGACGGCAGCAACGATGAACAGCGGAGGATGGTCTGATCTCTCTCTCTCTCTGCCTCCCTTTCTCACACACATACACTCCATGCCCTCTCTTCGGCGATGCACAGACGAACGAAAGGGAGTCCAAGACCAGACGCACTCACACCCATAGACGCAGCAACAACTCTGCACTTGTGAAGGAGAAGCTGTCGCCCGAGCAAGGAAGAATGGGGGAGAAATGTAGCAACTCTGTCGAGCATGCGTTAACTCGTACTGTGTCGCTGTGATGGAAGAGAAGCAGAGACGGAGAAGGAGGACGATGAGAGAGAGGAGAGGATCTGGGTTCTTCTAGTGAAGCAGAGCATTAAGTCGGTGAGGGAGAGAGAAAAAGAAAAGAGAAAAATCTAAGGGAGGCAAGGGTAATTTAGTGATTTCACAAAACTATATTAAAATAAACTCTCACTTTTGCTTTACTCAGAATCGAACGGGACCTAAAGAATAAACCATCTGCGCACTTTCACTACACTAATATTCCACTTTATTATACTTGTTCTCAATATTAATAAAATACACTTAAAATAAATTATTATATTTAATTTATTTTTATTTTTATTATTATTTATTATTTATTATTTTTATTATTTTTATAATTTTAGAGTTATTACAAATATATCATTTTATCAAGCATTTATTAATTTTTTTAAAAAAATATAAATATTTACATATATTTTTTATTTATTTATGATACATAAATTAAAAATATATTAATTTAATATTAATTCATTTGACTATGATTGAATTAATGAATCATAAATCAGTAATTACTTCAATGGTGTGATTTTTAAAACCTTATAAACAGTGGTCATGAAAAAACGGGGAAGGATTCAAGGATGGAAGATGGAGAAGTAGAAAAGAGATACAAGACAACCAGTCTCTCCTCGTCACTCTTCAGGAGCAGGAAGGTCCTCCTCATCTGGAGAAGCCAAAACCCACTCTCCATCATCCCTACGGACCATACTCTTGTTCTTCTCCACCCACCATGACCCTGGTACCAAATACTCTTCTTTCAGAAACTCACACGACTTGTTCACCAAAGCCACGCTTCTCTTCACCTTCATCTCGAACTCCTCTTTTGCCCCGTTCCACCCTGCCACCACGTGCAACATCGCCTGCAAGTTATGCCAATCACCTGGATTCTTCGACTCCTTCAAACTCGGCGACTTTCTTGTATCGATCTTCAACTCTGTTCCTGCTGTGTCCACGTATCCCAATAACCCTCCTGGATAACGTGTTATCAAGTCTATCACATTCCTTATGTGCAGAACCTTCATATTTGAAAACTTCTTCAGCCTCTCGTTGAATGCCTTGTTCCCCACCTGAGGAGACCCCAATACAATTGCTGTCACCGGAACGTTTTTTACTCCGTTCTCCACCAAATCAAAAGCACTCACTATCGATAAGCTTGCCCCGAGACTGTGTCCTAATACAACCACACTTGGGTTTTCGTCTTTGTAAAGCTTGAGCAATTCGTTCACCTTCTTCAATACTTGCGTCCTAGCACTTGTTTTAGTAAAAGGAGAATTTTGGTTGTCCGATGTATAAATTGTGAGCCAGCCATTCATCACTTTGGGCATTTCATCATCATCATCGTCACTGCTGCTAATTTCCTTTATCGTCTCTGAGCTTAGAAGAACCTCTGCTGATGCAGGGGCAGCACCAAACACATTGATCCACTCATAACTCGTCGTGGTACCCCGCCACACGACGAAGATTTCACGGCGGCCCGAGGCTCTGCTGACCTCGTCGGAGGTAACGGCGATGTAGCCGATCCAGTTGGATTCGCGGTCCCAACACTCGCGCGAGAGGGAGTGAAGGAGAAAGGCTTGGGGGACGCTGACACGTGCGGTGCCGTAGAGAAAGAAGAGGACTTTGTAATCGGAGGCGTTCTCGAGCATGACCTTTTGGAAGAAGGAGGACTTCCCGTAGCGGCTGGAACCACAGTACTTGGAGTTTTGGTCGTTGTTGAAGGCATCGTAGGTGGCCTGTATGAGGTCGCCGGAGCGGAGGATGAGCCTTCGAAGGTCCAGGTCGAGAGGGTCGAGCAGGCCTTCCCAATTGTTGCTTCCTAAGAGTTCGGACCATGTTGGTCCGGTTTGGGTCGCGGCCATGATAATGGCAGTGACGGTACGGTGATACAATGAGAGAAGGGGAAGTCAAGTGAAATATAGATTGTGTTGTTGGGTTGAGTGGTGGATCTGGGGACGATTAAGAAGAGATATGGAGGAGGAAGAAGAGGCCAAGATTATGGCATCAGTGGTGTGATTGATCTCAGAAACATACAGGATTGATGGATAGAATTTTAAACGTGGGCATTGAATCAAATGGAAAAGTAGACAAAAGTTCAAAATTCACGAGAGCGTAAACGATAAGGTTTTGGGTAACAAGTGGCATGGAGAATTCAGCTCCGTTGAGAGAGACCAAGTCGAATATCTTCTCAGGGTCAGAGTACATAAAATATGTCTTGTTATCTGCAAATTTTGTGATGATTCAATGCCAAAAATTCTTTTGTCCAAAAAAAAAAAAACCCCAAATTCTCAGCTCGAGAATCCTTTAGATATATATATATATAAGGACGAGGACCTGGATATTTAGTATTTGCACACTAAATGTGACTTTGATATTTTTGAGAGTGGTGAATTCAATACTTATTACGCTCATATGTTTGGATTGTTTATAAGACAACTTAGCAAAACATCATGTCACTTCAAGAAATGTGGCAAAGCCAAATAGTACTCTCCTATAATTTAAAAGTTAAGCATAACATTTTTAGCGTGATATAACATTTTTTTTTTCAATTTTAATGTTTTAAAACAGATAGATTGCACGAAGAGTACCAAAACAACAGTTAGGCATGTGGGTGCTGCACCTGCAAGCTCGTCTGTATATATTCATGGATTTGCTCACTCTGATGTGCAAGTAGAGGTTGCTTAAGATATAGTAAATGCCATGCATAAATGTAGTTAACTTTTAATATTAGCAATAACTGGGTTTATGCTGGATGCTTGCCGTCAAAAAAATTGAATCTCCTGTGGAAGCATACATTTCAAACACAAGATAATGTGCAAAATAAGGAAGAGAAAAGGAATGAATACAAAAAAGAAATGCAATATATCCTATACCTTGAATCACCTTTTTTGAAAAAAAAATTATGTTGGTCGACTTTTAAAATTGCACTGAAATTAGAGCAGACTTTACTATTAAAAAACGTTTAAAAAATATTTTCAAATTACATTTAGAATAACATTTATGATTTTTTATATATATTTATTTCACTGAATCACGTTAAAGTATCATTAGATGAATTTAGATTTAACAACTGTACTTAATATAGACACTGAGTATTTATACTATTTGAACCGTTAAAATTAAGATCAATAATTATGAATATATACTTCCTTTAAAATTAATGAATGAGTAAATTTATCTTAACTATTAATTTAAATTTTAATAATTTAAATAGTACAGGTATTTAACACATGTATTAAATACAATCATAGAATTCAAATACTCATTGAATCCAGTTAGGGGTAGCATTCTCATGTACTTCCCTTTGCTTGCGTAAACAAGATGTGTATGATATAGTATTTTTATCGGGTGGGTTTATCTTCGTTATTTTTTCCTCTTATCATTTTTATATTAAACTATTCATGTTAAATCTTTACTTTTAAAAATTGTCAAATCCAACTTAACAATCAACAGCTGTTTGTCCTATCAAGCCAACTCCATTCTGATCAGCCGGCATAAATGAACAAGCATGAGAATAGTTTTGCCGATTGCAATGAAGATGCGCCTTCTTGTTTTGTTGTCATCACTATGCAAGTACCTATCATCTCCTTTTGGGATTTCCTTTATGTTAGGTTACCACTGCCGCCTGCAAGACCTCGTCCAACTTGATCTACTCGTTCTCAGCTTCTCACTTCAATTACATTTCACATTTTTTAGGGCTTTAAATGTTGGTAAAGAAGAAAAACCAAGGACGATGTAATTCTATATTTTATTATTTCTTAAAGCGCCGGCACCCGTGTTTCGTCTTTTTATTCGGGTCGAGTTAGTTGTTTATAGAATTTCCGAACGTGTTTCCTGTTTCAATCATGCTCACATTAAGCCTATATGCTAAACTATTCAATTTTGGTGATTTTTGTTAATGATTTGAACAGAACTTCAATGAATTAGAGGAAGAAACAAAATTAATGTTCGCGCAGATTATTCTTCTCTATCTTCTCCCATTCTCAGTGGCTTCTTCACTTTCACGTTCACGTTGCTGAATCATTTTGGGCTTTGGCAATTGTTCCCCACTTTCCCTTTTTTTTTCCCCCTGTTGAAACCCCACAAATGGAGACGCATTATGGGTATAGAAGGAAGGCGCAGATTGCACTAATCGCCGTTATAGTGCTAACTTCTCTAGCCATGATCGCATTGCTTGTTGCCCTTATTTACTATTGCTACAGAAGGAGCAAGGTTTACAAGCGCCGCCAGAACCAATCATGTGAGCTACATTTGAATTTACGAATTATGTACTTTCGCTGTTATTGAGTCTTATGATTGCCAAGAAAATTCCAGAAAATGGAGATTGAACGTTTAAGCCCTACCTTTCTCAAAATGAGATTGAAGAAATATATATATATATATATAATGGAATTAGGAGCTTTGTAATGCGAAGTTCCGTTTTTTCCTCTTGCCCTGCATTTCCTTTAATATCAAATAGACATAGTTCCTTTCATCAAAAAAAATATAACACTTTGAACTTTTCTTTTCATTTTGTTAATATATTGATCCTTTTATTAAAAAAAAAAATAGACACAGTACATTCTTTTTCAAGTAAGTTTGATTATTTTTCAACCTCTAGGGTCGAAATGAACGTGATGTCAAAGACAATTCACTTGATGACTTGCTTCTTATATTATTTGTTCATATATTTATTTATTTATTTTCGTGCGATTCCCACTTGGATCATCGCTGAGATTATTTAAAAAGAAAACTGGAAAAATGGAGAGAACACCGCTTTATCAATGAAACACTGTTTTATGCTGTTGAAGTACCAAATTTCAAGCTCCATATATGCTGTGTAGTGTGTACAAGTTTAATCAATAGGTTTCTTCGGTCCAAAAAGTTGATTACATCTGGCTTGTGTAGCATTATTCCTTTTACCCTCACTTCTTCTGACTCAGATGAACCTGCGGCCCACTTACTGACCTATTGTGCTTGGTTTTACATTAGTTGCTGGTCACAACGAAAAAAGTGACTTTGCCAATCTGCATGTTGCTGCTGACAATGGATCTCAAGTGTTCACTTGCAAGCAGTTGCATTCTGCAACTAACGGCTTTAGCAAGTCAAATGTAATTGGCCATGGCAGATTTGGACTTGTCTACAGGGGAGTGCTAAATGATGGCAGGAATGTCGCAATTAAATTCATGGATAAAGCACGAAAACAAGGAGAAGAAGAATTTAAAATAGAGGTCTGTTCCTTCTTAGTTTTAGACCCGTTAACTTTTTCATGAATTGGGCGAAAATGGATGCATTGTTGTTTCATAAATAGTTAATTTATTTTCCATGTAACTAGAACAATGAAATTGGCCTCCAAAAGAATTCAGAACATTGAAAATTTGGGATTTTGATTATGGCAAATGGTCTTGCGATGAATTTCGTAGGAATCAATGGCCTGTATAGGCAGAGTGTGTTTAAGAATTGATTGGCTATATCTCGTTGTAGGTGGAATTGCTGAGTCACTTGCACTGTCCATATTTGCTCACATTGCTGGGTTATTGCTCTGATGGTAATAATAAATTGCTGGTTTATGAGTTCATGGCAAATGGGAGTCTGCAAGAACATCTTCATCCTGTCAGCAGTAAGTCTATCATTGAAAACAAGTCCACTATATGAAAGACGAATATATATAATGTTGAAGTAGGAGGAAATGTTTGAAGTTGTTCTGTTTTCGTTTTATTTTTCTTATTGTTTTCTATGTTGAAGTCGATTTAGATGAGTTGAACTGGGATTTTTGTTGAGATTTACTTTTCATCCACCTTGTAGATTTTTACATCGCACCCGTGAAATTGGATTGGAATATCCGGTTAAGAATAGCCCTAGAAGCTGCCAAGGGTTTGGAATACCTTCATGAATATGTCAGTCCCCCAGTTATCCACAGAGATTTTAAGAGCAGTAACATTGTCTTAGACAGACAACTTCATGCAAAAGTTTCTGACTTTGGCTTAGCCAAGCTTGGATCCGATAAAGCTGGTGGACACGTTTCGACTCAAGTTTTAGGAACACATGGATATGTTGCCCCTGAGTATGTGCCAAAGTTTATCTTTCGTACCTAGAATTGCTGCTTATGTTTGTTAGTTTATCTTGAACTCAATCATATCAGAATTGTTATTCAAGTATTGCAGACAGTCATGACATGAAAAACTGAATTTGTCCCTATGCAGATATGCGCTAACTGGGCACTTAACAACCAAATCAGATGTATACGGTTACGGCATTGTACTTCTCGAGCTGTTAACTGGTCGAGTACCAATTGATATGGAGAGACCTCCAGGGGAAGGCGTTCTTGTTTCATGGGTGTGTTTAATAGTTTTCTTTTCACCTGTGAAATTTCTTGGTCCTCAAAAGCACAGAGCGAAAGTTCTATAATTATTCAGCCGCAACATCTCATCTTGCATTCATCTCATTTTTTTATTTGTGGGAAATAGTATTCTTTAATAACTCATTTTTATACCAGCTCTTGCATTGCTGATTGCTTTTACTTACGAACTTTTCTTCGCTGATTGCATTTTAGGCCTTGCCCCTTTTGACTGATAGAGAAAAAGTTGCAAAGATTATGGATGCTTCATTGGAAGGTCAGTACTCAATGAAAGAAGTTATCCAGGTAGCCGCCATTGCTGCAATGTGTGTGCAACCAGATGCAGATTATAGGCCTCTCATGGCAGACGTTGTGCAGTCACTGGTTCCACTGGTGAAGACGCACAGACCAACAACCTCAAAGGTTGGTAACTACCCTAGTTTCCATGTCAATAAGTTATCCCCGCCTCAGGATTCAGTGAAAGCAACTATGTAACGCTCTGAATGAAATCTAAATTATGGTCAAGGTTCATAGAAAGAGAAGTGAATTAAGCTAGTCATTTGAATGTGATTGAAGAGTTCAAGTTGATGAAGGGACGGGATGGGTTGATTTTGATTTGTGTTAAAATGGATCTTCTCAAAGTTCATGTGACAATCAATGTAAAATTAATACCTCTTATTTTAGGTTTTAATCAAAGTCCAGGGATGTTCTGTATTTTTGAGGTTGAGGTTGATGAATGCTTCAAAGGAGCCCTTCCTTGAAGACTTGTTGCTTTTAACTAATCTATCCTTTTCTTGTGTATGGGTTTTAGGTTTGAAACATGTGATTGCAGATTGTCAAAAAAATAATAGGGAGAATAATAAGCAAGGATTTGTAAGAACAGCAAAATTAAAAATTTTAGTATTAAAACATGAAAGAATGGATATTAAATTTGAGAACATTAATGTTAAAAAAAATTTAATTTAATATTAATATTTTATGAAGTCCTTGTCATTCTCCTATAATAAAATAATTTATCTTTGATGGAACCAAAAAAGGAATTATTAAGTGGAGCAATGGACCCCTCCATGATGGTTCGTTCGTTGCCCTCCATTATGGACTGTGATGGTCCACCGAGCCACTCGGTGTCTATAAATTGCGGCCAACTGAAAAGTAAAACCAGGATGAATGTGTAAGATATCGTGATATCCGAGGGATTATAGATTCAATTGTATTAAAATCTAAAATTTAATTAATTTGTTGATGCTGATTTATAAATGAAGTCAGTGAGTAACATAGTATGCTGGGTGTGCTAAAAAAATAATGGGTATTTGAACTTGATCTGCCTATCAGAATCAAGTAATAGATGTGACTTCATTTTCATCAACCAAATGATGTCATAAAGTGAAGTAAACCAGCTGTTTGAGACTAATTAGATGAGCTTGATTACCAACCCAGCTCTGATTTAGTTGGATCCAGCGTCCGCACATCCTGTCCTTAACATTGTAAAAACTGAAAACTGGTCAAATTGATCTTCCTTTGGGTTCTCCTGTAAAGGGGTGTGGTTATGATTGGCCGCACTTTACTCTCTCTCTCTCTCTCTCTCTCTCTCTCTCTCTATACGCGCACATGTATGTATATATTATGAATGGTCCTTCTGACGTGTAAAGTAACAGCAATCATATCATCTTGGATTTTCATTTTAAAAATAAGAGTCAAAGATAATAATATATTATATTTTACAAATTCTTTGCTCACTTGGTCACCCCCAAACCTCAAGATCTTATTTTCTTTCCACCTTTTTTTTGTTTTGGTTTAATGCACAAAATTATTAGATCAAAAGGTATAAAAAATCATATATAAATTAAATAAATAAAAATAATGTTTATTTCTTTCATTAGAACTAGAAATAAAAACACACACTATGGTAATTAAATGCCCTTATAAAATATAAAGGTAACAAATATTACCGAAACAAAATATTAAATTGTGTTCCTTTTCTATCCAACAATCAAACTCAAACATATGATCAGGTCAAAAAAAAAAAAGAAAGAAACTCAAACATATATGCTTATTTCCTCTACGCAGAGGAATTCTTCCGAAGGCTCCTTTACACAACTCATGTTCAGTTCTGATTCACCGTGCAATGAAGCAAAGCTTCAAAGAGAGTAGTCCGGCTTGGCAATGATCCATGCAAAAGAATATATATATATATATATATATATCAAATATCAGCACTGAATAATCAATGAATATATTGAGGGGGGCAAGAAATAAAAAAGAAAAGAAAAGTGTAGGTACGTAGGCGGTGTGATATATGTGGGAGAGATTTTTGGTGTGCTATATTGTGGAGAATGCATTGAATGCAGATATCTCAGGATGAGATTCCGTGTTCTCTAGTCATTTCCACGACAAGTAGCTAACTCGGATGTTTGTTCTTTTCCTTACATTTTCTTCAGCAGGCTCTCATTTTCAAGCTATGTTCCCCACTTTCGGTTTTCACCTTTCTCTTCTTCACTCATCATGTCACCTTCTTCTCACAGTGGGGCCTCCTATATAATCATGCTTGAATGTCTTCATATTCACATTCGAAATTGTGGCTCATGTCTTCTGTTCTGTGACTCTCTACTTTGTCTCTTTCTTCATCAAAATACATTTTACAAGAAAAATACACTTACAACTTTGTCAGCTTGTCTTCTTTAATTTCCACTCAGTTTTAATAGTAGCTTGTGACATTTGCGGCCACCGTATTTCAATGTCATTTTCACCCCGACGTCGACACTATATCGCCTCCATCTCCACGCTTGTTTGTCGCCGACGGCGCGTGACTCGACGGTTCTCTCCGGCGTGGCCACGGGCACCCTCTGTGTGTGGGGGATCTCAGGGGCCTTGGCTTGGGCCTTGCTGTAGTCTTTCTTTCATTCAGATGCTTAAATATTAATCTGTCTTCCTTGGTATTTAATATTAGGATTGTAGTTATTAATAACAGAAAAATCAAACTAATATGACATTGATTTTTTATTTATTTATTCCAGCACTCCATTGTTATCAAAAAGCAGTCTTACGAGTATCACTGGAGATATTTTTAACATTTGTATTTGACATTGTTACATATCTCAGTGCTCGAATCCAAAATCTTAGAATACATTGATTCAACATTCTCAATTAATCGGACTGAATGCTGCTTAGTAATTTGACATTGATTGTTAACTATGACCAGGTGTCAATGGAACTATTAAAAAAAAAATCAGTTGTCATAAATCGTTGATTTGTTATTCATCTAGACAATTTTTTTTTTGATAGTGCTATTTAATTGGTAATTATATTTTTCATTTAAACATTGTTTACAGGTGTACAAGGAGACCCTGTACTTATTAAATTATTTTGAAAATTAAAATATGTTATCATAATATTTTAGCATTTACATATCTTGTTTATAATTAAACTGCAGTTTTTAAAACTTCAGTGTTCGCGTAACAGATGGTGTTGCCCCTGAGGTTTATGGCTCGGATTAGGAAATGAATGAATAAAATATCTTGTTTTGGCATCGCTCATTAGGTTTTGTTAAAATATAATAAACATGTTTTTATTGTTCTTCATTACCTAAATGTAAGTCATATTTTTTTTACCAGCCCTGAATGTAAGTTACATGCCTCATAGTTTATAAATAATATGATACATATTATAAATTTATATTGATATTAGATTGTGTTATCGTAGTCCTGGTAGAGTTTAAAGTGAATCCTATTGTTTATTAGCTATGTACAATTCACTTGTATATTGATTAATATTGATATATTGATGTTGACTGATTATTAAATATATTAATAAATTAATACATATAAGTTGATAATTGAAAATTATGAAATGAATTATAATTAGAGCTCGAATTTGGGCTAAGCATGATGTGCTAACTCGGGTTTACCTTAAAAATTTATGGCCAGGCCTGAGTAGACCTAAAACAATTCTGGTCATGAATATTTGAATAAAAAATATTTTTAAAAAATATATAAAATATAATAAATATTAATTAATTTTTTAAATTTTATATTAAAAAAATCACATATTTAAGTGCATTATTATAATTATTTTTAAAAAATTTAAAATAGTTATGTTTTCATATTTTTAATCAATAAAATATCTAAAAATAATATTTAAAATATATTTTAATATTGATTTGTATATGTTAAGACCCACTTATTTTTTTAAAGTTTTGAGTCCTAGACATCCTTTGGGACTTGAATATCCTAAAAATATATTTTATATTTTTTATAAAATAAGATAATTAATTTTAAAGTAAAAAATTAAATTAAAAATAATTTAAAAAATAACATCAAAGCATGTATTAATTCTCAGCTCTATTACTAAATAAACATAACAATATTCTTGGATAATGTTTTGGTTATCGTCAATGCCAGATTTAATTACAAATTAAGAATAGACTATAATAAATATCCCTTTGTATGTATGAGTTAAATAATACAAAAAATTAAAAAAAAATAATTCTAGAAAAAAAGTATTTCATTCATAATTAACTGATTTTATTTTATTTTATATAATATAATATAATGATAACTATTTTTCTTATTTTTTTAAAAGTATAATTTATATAAAAGTTATTTGAAATCTTTAAACTAATTGGGCCAATGGTTTTAAATTAATGGTATAATCATGATTGAATTTGGTCAATTTAATCATAATTTAATTAAAATATATAAAATATTTATTTATGACTATAACAAGAGTACTATTTAAACAACTAAAATATTAATTTATAAGTAAAGAAACATTCATAAATAAATTACACATAATACAACAAAACTATAACAGAGTTACGTAAGTTCAAAGTTGATAGGTTATTTTTTTTATTATTTTAAAGTTAAAATAATATTCTATGCTTAACAAAGTTACTTAATAATTAAAATTGATTCAAAAAATAGATAAAAATATTTTTAAAAAATTCTGAGTATTTAGGCTGATCCAAATAAGTTCGAAACTTAAAGATGTTAAAATTGAATTGAAGTATATAAACTTTTTAAATAAAATAAAATATTTTAAGTTAGATTCAAACAAGCTCGAATTGGTGGCTCTGGTTATAATAATCAAACAAAAGTCTAAAAAGTATAAGACTATTTTATTTATTTACTTAACTCAGCTAGCTATATTTTTATTCAAGCAGGTTTGAATAAATTATGACCTTTGTTAAAGTTGAGATTATTTTACTTAGTTTATTTGCGGTCAAACTTAAAATAATTCAAACCTTGAATATTCACAAATCACAATAATGTCTCTGACTTACTATTATTTTCATTTCACAGTATTTTCTTAAATACAACACAAGTTGAAACCAACTTAAAAACAAGCGGAATTGAATCTATAATTTTTTACATGCCAGAGTAAATTTAATAAACTAATGCCGTTAGGGTTACTGATAATATTTTTTTAATTCAAAGACAATTTGCCACGTATACATTTAAGTTCTACTAACTCATGTTCTTTTTACTTAAGTGTGCACTTTAAATTTAGAATAGATAGAATTCTAATATATTTATTATCATCATAAATGTAGTAGTGATAAGTGATAAACAATTGTTTGACCAGAATAATGAACAAAAATTTTAATGATTTAATCATATGAATATAGCTAATACCAAACATTTCAGACTTTCTGGCCAAAAAGAAAAAAACACTTGAAGAACTTTGCTTTTAAGTTTAATAAATGTTTAGGGGTGTATCAGTCCATATAATAATGCGAATGTAACTGATACTCTACTAAACACTTCTCCGTATTTATATTATATTCATGTTGGTTTCCATGTGATACTAGTCTCTCCAGATTTTCCTTGCAAGGGCTGCAGAATATATTTTCCTGTACTTAGCCACGTCGAATTTCTAATCAAAGCCATCGGTAACAATAAAACTAACCATTGGACCGTTGAGATTATAACGTGTTGTCACTCTCCTGGGGGAGACGCAAAGAGAGAGAAAATTGACTCAGCGAGAGAGAGAGAGAGAGAGAGAGAGAGAGGCGAAGAGGAGAGGGAGTTTGCGTGAGTCACAACTCACATGGCCTCCATGCCCTTGGGGCCGCACCACCGTCAACCACCGCCTGCGGCAGCTCCACTACAACCGCCACCACAGGCACAAGCTGGAAATGATCCACTGAAGGTGGCTGTTCGCCGTGGCTCCGATAGTGAGACCGATAAGGTACCTCCGACCAAGTACTCTCTCATTGTACGGACACACCGTTGGCCTCCTTTGTTTTTCTGCCTTACTGTGCCTCGGTGGTTGTTGGTGCTTGGATCGGCTTGATCCAGCCAACAAGCTTTAGTATGAGCGGAATTTTGACCGATCTACCGGTTTTTCATGAATTTGTGCTTGTTTGGAGGTCTGGGCCCGCTCGCCGGAGCTCTTCTCTGGCGAGGTCCCCGATCGGAGTGATTGTATCGTTGGCTTGAAAAGGTGATTATAGCTCTACTTAATGAATTGGAATAAGAGAAATGTTGGTTAGCATTTCTTGCTAAGGTCTTAAGCTTAAAATGAAGGTGGCGTGCCTTTTTGTTTGGTGGCCCAGGAAAAAAAACAGAATCAATAGAAGTGCAAATGTGGAATCCAATTTGTGTTATTCTCCTTTTTCATTCTGAACAAGAGTGGGAAGGAGGATCTGACTCCGTAATTGTAATTTAGACCATATTGAACTCAACTGGTGGTCATCTTAGCGTCGAGGAGCTGTTTACCTGAATTGGCAATCGCCAATTTCTCTTCCAGAAAATCTCTAACCGCCTATGCAGATTGTTTATTTTTTCATATTATTTTTAGTCTGTTTTCCTTTACTTTATTTCTGTTCCTTCGTAAAATGTTCTTTCAATCTCGACTCTGTTGGATTTGGCTCTATATGATTTGGTCTATTTCCTGGTAAAATATTTTAATCGTGTAATTTTTTTGCTCTTCTTTCTCTAATTAAGTCTCTGGGAAGTGGAAGCAAATTTTCTAATTTGATGTTCTACGGATTTTTCTTAGAACCGTTTTTGTTGCTTCTGGGAGCAATGCTTTAGGTTTTCTTTCCAGGGCCTCTGAATTGAAATTAGATCTTTTGTCGGGCATGTGATGCCTTCCTGTGAACTGAGGTCACCTGACTGAACACTGTCCCTATATGAATCTTTTGAGTTCTTTGCTGTTTGCACTTTCTTCAGGTTGGCCTTCCGATCTGTGTCTAAGGTCATAGAAAACCATCCATTTGTTGTACTTATATCAAATTTGTTAGCATTTTTTTTTTCATATCTAAATTGCCTTGCTGCTTCTCGTGATTGCATGAGTCCAAATTTTAACAGCTAATTTGTCTTGAATGTATGAGTGTCCTTTAATGACTTTGCTATGTAGTACACGTAATCTGCAGAAAGCGGTGTCCATGTTGAATGTAGGACACGTAATCTGCAGATGATTCTGTCAATGCTAATCTGTAGAATATGTTGTCAATCTGTCATATTAAGTGGATGTATTCAAACAAAATGGCTAGCCAAGAGTTTATGAAAATTTAATGACTAGATAACTGAAACATGCAATCTCTGAATCAAAAGTAATGTTGGATTAATAATCAGTTCGTTATTAGGAGAATTTCTTTGCTGTATTAAATAGCTGTTTCCTACTATGAATTGCAGGAAATGCCAGCTACTGTCGTTGAGGGGAATGATGCAGTCACTGGCCACATCATATCCACCACAATTGGAGGCAAAAATGGGGAACCTAAACAGGTGGGTTGTGTTATAACCCTCTTCTTTCCCTCTTATTTTTATTTTTTTTGGAAAATATATCTCAAGATGTCCATATGAAAGGCTAGAAGCAAGATGGTTATTGTTTTACATTGGGATCAAGTGGAGCTACTTATAGGAGTTGGTGATCTACAATTAGTGGACTGTCCTTAATACAAATATGACACAGTCTAACACCTATAAATGACTTTTCTTCCTCGAGATCTTAAAAAATCTAAAAGTATTTTGAATTCTGAGAGTTGTAGCTCTGGTAAATCATGCGTTTGCTGCAATAATTGTTGATTCACCTTTTGAACACTCAAATTTGATGATATCTGTTGCTGTTCTTCCTTTTATCAAGTCTTTCACAGGGTATCTGACTGAGTTGAGATGTCTTTCTTGATTCCACTTGCAGACCATCAGTTACATGGCAGAACGTGTTGTTGGCACTGGATCATTTGGAATTGTTTTCCAGGTATGAGTAAATCAACTTTGAAGAAGCAATTTTTCCTGATATGTCTTTTATGCTTGAGTTTCTCATATGGCCCCACTTATCCTAAAACAAAGGCAAAGTGCTTGGAGACTGGGGAGACCGTAGCTATAAAGAAGGTCTTGCAGGACAGGCGGTACAAGAATCGTGAACTGCAGTTAATGCGCCTGATGGATCATCCCAATGTAATTTCTCTGAAGCACTGTTTCTTCTCTACAACCAGCAGAGATGAACTTTTTCTGAACTTGGTTATGGAATATGTCCCTGAGACAATGTACCGAGTTCTAAAACACTACTGTAGTATGAACCAGAGGATGCCCCTCATCTATGTTAAACTTTACACTTACCAAGTATGAGCCCTTTTCTTTAATAGTTCTACCGGCTATCTTGCTGCTTGTTACTTTTTTCCTCACAGCTTATGTATCTATGGGTCTCAGATTTTTAGGGGACTGGCATATATCCATACTGTACCTGGAGTTTCCCATAGAGATGTGAAGCCTCAAAATCTTTTGGTAAGTTTTTCTTTGGCTGTTTCATTTACATGAGGTGTAATTATATATTCTTTATTCATGGCATGCTCTTCCCTGTAGGTTGATCCTCTTACACACCAAGTGAAGCTTTGTGATTTTGGGAGTGCAAAAGTTCTGGTATGTTGGGTTTCAGCGCTTAATTGATTTATATGGACTTCTATGCTTATTTCCATATGCCCACCATGATGATGATTGAACCAAAATTATACACCTTGATAAGTGGTATTATTTTTTTAAAAGGGATTTACACATGTGCTTGAACCAACATTGCAAATGTTCTTATGCTCCGCCAACATGAAATTACAAAGGCGCTTGAAATGTTTTCTGAAATGGGTATTGTAATCAAGTCTGTATGCACCATGATAACGTGGAAGTCTGAGAACAGCAAATAAGCTTTGGCTAATAAAGTTTGGTTGCACTTAACATTTTCAATTTCACGAAATCTCTCAATTCAAGATATTGCTATTTATATCAGGTAAAGGGTGAATCAAACATTTCCTACATATGTTCACGATATTATCGAGCTCCCGAACTAATATTTGGTGCGACAGAATACACAACTTCAATTGATATCTGGTCAGCTGGTTGTGTCCTTGCTGAGCTTCTTCTAGGCCAGGTTGGTGTTGTAGCTTATGCTCAAGAAGTCCCCATCTCATAATCCTTTTTCAGTTGTTTTTATTGCTCATAATTTCTAATGTTTCCTCAGCCATTATTTCCTGGAGAAAACCAGGTGGACCAACTTGTGGAAATCATCAAGGTGCCTGACACTTGTCTATTTGGTGTTAACAAGGGTTTAATGAATCTAGTTGCAGAGAGATAATTATTTTGTTGTCTTTGTAGGTTCTTGGTACTCCGACTCGTGAAGAAATTCGTTGCATGAACCCAAATTATACAGATTTTAGATTTCCACAGATTAAAGCTCACCCTTGGCACAAGGTAAAGGAATTCCCTGGGGCATTTTCAGTTTGATTAGCTTTGCTGGCTAATGCTATGTGGATAGTGGATCAGTAAATAATACAAGGCTGTCAAACAATGTGAGATGAATTCATGAAATAGACGTTCCAAAATAATTATTTACAGAGTTTCAGGAATAATATAATGTAATACTTGTAATCAGGCGGCTTTATAATATTTGAACTTCTGGGTTTTTTGGGTCCTTTTTATTGCTTGATGTACTCAATGCAATCTATGATCGATGATTCAGGTTTTTCACAAGCGAATGCCTCCTGAAGCGATTGATCTTGCTTCAAGGCTTCTCCAATATTCACCAAGTCTTCGATGTACTGCGGTAAGACAACCCATATCTCTTCTCTCCACTCCTCCCTCTAATATGAAGGCAGATAAACTGTAGATTCAAGGGAGAGCATATCATATCCATGTTGATATAAGGGCCCATTTGAAATTCCTTCTTTCCCATTATACTTCTATGAGATTAGATTAACATGGTTTAGCATGGTATTCTCCTTAGCTGTTTTAGTTCTGCTGTAGGCTTTTTTTTTTTTTTTGGGCATTGAGATTCCGTGGTGTATATTGATTTGCTATAGTTGGCATAATTCTCACTGGTGGTTCTTGTTATTTTAGCTGGAAGCATGTGCACACCCTTTCTTTGATGAGCTTCGTGAACCTAATGCCAGGCTACCTAATGGCCGCCCACTGCCCCCGCTTTTCAACTTTAAACAGGAAGTATGTATCAGATCGAGTTCTTCAATTGCAAAATTATTATGTACACAATGCGTCTTTATGACTGCCATATTTTCTGCATGTGCCATGGACAAGAGAATTCAATAATGATTCTCCCTATCTAAACTGATGCTAAATGCGATAAACTATGTCAATTATCCTTGAGCGGAGCTATATATTGTTTTTGACTCATTCTGAATGATTCTTGTCCAGTTAATCATGATCGTAGATGACTGAGCTATATATTTTTTATTTTTGGGATGTTTATCACTGAAACAATAGCAGCCTTGACTGTAATGAAACGCTTTGACTGCAGCTGTCTGGAGCATCACCTGAATTGATCAGCAAACTCATCCCAGAGCATGTTAGGCGGCAGAGTATTCTGGGCTTCCAGCTTCCACCTGGTACATAGATGTAAAGAGAAGATGGGGGAAAAAAGGAGTAAACCAATCTAGTGATCAACAAGAAACAAGAAACAAAGGAGGACCTGTCTTTGGTCATCATAAGTGGGGGTTCTGGCGCGATTTGCACTTTTTGTCCCCATGTGAGGATGTATACATGTAGTGGCTGCTTGGCATAACCTGGAAATTGGTGATTGTCTAATATGTCATTTTAGTTATAAAAAAAAAAAAGCATACTTATTTACTGCATCTGTACATTGTTTTTTTATCAGATCCCAGAAGGCTAGGAGTATAGAATGTTGATCGAATTCGCATCTGCATAGGTACGAGCTGCCAGAGCCTACCAGAAAATCAAGGGGGCCTTGGCAGTAAGTTTGTGTCGCCTTTTTTACATGATCATATCCATGGTGTTTCTATTTATACAAGTGTCAATATTTGGGTTCGAAGCTATTTTTTTTTTGTGCATTGTTCACTTCACTTGTCCAGTACCACTTCGCTGTCTTGACGTAAGCGGCATGATTTGTATCCTGTGTTCTAGACTGTCCCCTTCAGAAAATGACAAGATTCAAGACGGAAGGATAGCTCTTGATCCGAGATATTTCCATCAGGTTGGCATGACGACGGAGTCATTGGATTTCCTATATAGATGTATATTTGATTTGGCTCCCTCACAGAAAAACCATACCTGTGAGTGGCAATGATGACGCATGGATGTTTCTTTATAATGGGAGACCGGGAGCCTTTTCTCTGGTAGTCCTTTACTTTAATTGGCCCTTCTCTCCTCCACGCCCAAAAGAAAGGGAAAACAGTAGGTTCTTATTTTTGTTGTGTTTTTTTCTTCTTTCTATAATTTTATTTCATTCCCTTTAGTTTGATTCGTGTGGATTGTTAATCTCTGTAGTTTTAAAAATACACATTAGATCCATGACTTGGTATTGACAGAGTTACTTTGTTGATGTGTTTTCAACTCTATTAACCCTCTTGTCTTTTGGTGACGACTTCTTTTTTTTAGAATATAAAGGCAAGACAAAGCTTGAAAATGGGGAGTGCAATTAAGAGGTACTCATATCAAACAACATCAAGTCTAGACAACCAGTAGGACAAGACCAAAGTAATTTCGTATTAATTCCTACGCCATGAGTGGTTCTTGCTATGTAGTCAGCACATCTCAAGTTATCTGTGGGGGTTTGTTTAATAGTAACCTCCCAATCCCTGTAAATAAGCTCCCAAGTTATAGTCACTACATTCTTGATGATAGAATTGGCACAGCAATTTCTAAAAATCATGTTTGCTGCATCCAAAGAATCTGAGAAAAGGTTAATTTTCTGAAAATTCTGTAATTTGCATACTTCTAAATCAGTCTTTAAAGCTAGAAGTTCAGCAAGGATGGTAGAAACTCTCCCTATTCTCATCTAAATCCCAGAATCCACTGCCCGTGTTGATTTCTGATCACTCCCCCACATGTAGCATATCCTTGCTGAAAGCTGATTAATGGAAGGATCCACATCCATGCTGAGAAAACCTTCCGGAGGAGTATACCAATTGGTCGCGTCCTCTGAAAATCCTTGAAATATTGCATGCTGAAAGCTGATGTTGCTTGAGTCTTCCATAAGTAGGTACAATCCTTGATGTGTCACCTCTGATGAGTGCAAAGAGTGCCTTCAAACAGCCTTTAGCATCTGGCTTTCCAAAGGATCCAGCATGTGTTACAAAAAACCCTGATCCAAGGCCATCCGCGATGGCGAGACTTTCCTGGTTTACTTGCAATATTCCATTTAAGCCAATCCTACAAATCAGGAGAAAAGAAAGCAGTATAATTATTAGGATTGATAATACTTTGCCACACATTTTTGGCAATCTCAGTCACACAGAACATGTATAATGGATTCCTCACTGGAATACTCAAAAGGACACTCATTGTTTGTAATAAGATTGTATTTTGCTTTGAGCGAATTGGTAATTAATCTCTCATAAGTAACTTGCCAAAAGAAGAATTTGATTCTTTTTGAGACAGGCCATCTCCATATCTTTTTCCACAATGGTTCCAGAGTACTGTGCCTGGTATTTTGTATGAATTTATAAGCTTCCTTGACACTGAATAACCCATCATTATTAGCTCTCCATCTGAATTGATCCTTCTCTTGTCCATCTAGGGGTTTGGTCTTTTTGAGCTTCTCAATAACCCATCTTGGTAGAACATGCACCCATTTGTTTATATTCCACTGTCCATTGGGGAGAACATGGTGACTGATCGATTCTGAGTAATTAAAACTGTTATGTTGTCGAACAGTGTAGTAGATAAGCGGCTGATCAAGAGGTGCCCAATTCTCCCACCAAAAGTAAGTATTTCGACTACTATTGATTTTCTTTCCTACTCCTTTAATGAAATCTCCCCAGATGTTGGTGACGAGACTTCTGGACAAAGATGTTATCTACCTTAAAAAGCTTTTCTCCCATCTTTTACTTTTAATCTGACCTCATTAATTTATTTTTATATCAACATTTTTTCCATGATAACAAAGGAGTTAATAGAGTTGAGTATGAGTCAGTGGAAGTAACTGTCATTATCAAATCTTGGTTCTGATGTGTATTTTTAAAATTACAAGGATTAATGTTTTAGACAAATTAAAATTAATCTAAAAAGACCAGAAACTATAAAATAAAACTTTAAGCACCAAAAACAAAATATAATCCAAGTGTAAGAACTTCTTGTATTTTTTTTTTAAAATAAGTTATAAACATTTTACTCTTTATAAAAGGAAAAAATTATATTTTTAACTTTATATACTTAATGAGTTTGTTTTCAATTAAATCAAAATGTGTGAATCTTGTATAAATTATTTATTATATAATAAATTTTTGTTATCAATTTTATAAACAAAGATTCACTTATCATGATTTGATTGGATATAAATATATTAAGTATATAAAATTAAATATATAAGTCTTACTTTTCTGCAAATCCCAATTCCAATCCAGCTTAATTTCTCATTGCTGGTGACCGGGGGTTGATCTCATATAATCAACGAGATTAACATCAATCACATCATAAAGTAATCGGAGGGTTGGTAAAAAAAGCCATTGTAAGCCATGTTCTAGTATCATTTTTATACTGGCTGCAATTGATCATCTTTCGGTTTATGTATAGGCCCAGAAAGACGCCACTTTTCGCATTTTCGGCTGGAAAAGTTCGCTGCAAAAAATAAAAACACGACACAAAAACAAAGGATATATAATATAAAAGGGTAGTGGTGTAATGATCAGGAAAGAGGCTACTTTAATTTCAGTGAAAAACATAAAAAGCAATTGAATCAAAAGTCTTTGAGATTATGATGAGTGAAGTTCAAGCAATGCTCTGAACGAACTTTATATTCCTACAAAGCGAAACCCTCCCCCAAATCTAATTTTCCCCCAAAGAACACGGAAGAGAGGACTGTAAAAGAATGGAGATAGGACACCACAAAGGTGTGTTAAATACGCGGGATACGACCCTGAAGATCTTCCCCATTAATGGTTAATTGAGGAATGGTAAGGGGGTCATAATTTATTGGGTATCAACTGGGCAAAGCTAACCCTACTGGGTACCGCCCCTAAGACAATTTTGATTTGATGTAATACGTAACAGAAAAATCTAGGCAGATTTTGTGACCTCGTGAATGGCGTCGGCCAGGTATGCGACGTTGCCCGTATTGAGACCAGCCATACTGCAATGATACGTAAAATCAGACAATTGCGCGCGAAAGTAGAAGAAAAATGGCAATAATTATAAAACTGATTTGTTAGACGTTTTACCTTATGCGACCATTACGAGTCATATAAATGTGAAATTCGCTCGTCAAACGGTCAACCTGCTCCGGTGTCAATCCAGTGTAGCAAAACATGCCAATCTGCAGAAATATCACACGACTTGTGAGAAAGCTCAAAGTCTCCAACAATTAAAATGAGACAGTGAAGGAAACGTAGTGAACGCAGCATTTGCGCATGCACAGAAAAGATGAACCTGATCGGTTATGTGCTGCCAAGATGAAGGAGACCCCCGCTTTTCTAAGCACTCCCGTAGGGTGGCCCGCATTCCAATTATGCGGTCTGCCATTACCTGAAGTTATATAGCAAATATTGGTCAATTGCACTCTATTCCCGATGTCCTTCCACGAAATGATACCAATATACTTCGATTAAGATACTAGTGACTTATGGTCTCTAGATAGATGCTTTCATGTTATTTTTAAACTATTTGCACGATATGGCTAATCACATTCTTCAAAATTACAGAAAGAACTCTTCACCACATCAGTTTACCTAACGTTGGTTGAACCTTTACAGTTCTTCTCATGGCGTGGATCAGACTAGCCATGCCACTGAAGAAAATCTAAAGCATTGCAATTGTAGGTATGTGTGTCAGCAGAGAAAAAAATTAGACATTGGAAATTTGTGCATGTCGATGGAGGGAAAAAGTTAAACATTGCAACCTAGTACTTATATTTTAAAAAAGAAAAAAAAAAGGGAACAAAAAAATAACGTAAATCCCCAAACTCCCCATTTATCTAAGACTTTTTTAAGGTATATAACTATTTGATGGAAACTCTCCCGTATTTAAGAGTGATCCAAGCATAACAGTATAAAAGTACATTCATCTCTAAAATCTAAATCAGGAATTCTGAACTCCTTTTCAATGTTTAATATTCAAATCAACATGGAATCGGTGATTGAATTTCAGAACTGGAGGTGTTAGAATCCTTAACTTCTCAAAATGAAGACAACTGGTAACCTCTTTCCACATGCATAAATAGCACCTGTTGTGGCATGGTCCAGCGATCATTGCGACTCTATACATCCATTTCTCACTCAAATGTAAACAAACAGAGCAAATTGCATCTCCCAGAAAGTTCCTTTCTTTGTGTGTGTGTGTGTGTGTGTGTTGTGTTGTGTTGTGTTTATGAGGGGGCGGACAGTCAGGATTAGTGCAGTGGCATTTCACCTTAACTTCTTTGAGCCATAACTTTTTCAACTCTGGGTCACCAAGGACAGTTGAAACTATGCGTGCCCCATGAACAGGCGGATTACTATACATCGGTCTCGCAAGCAGCTGCAGCTGACTTTTTACAGCCACAGCTTGTTTTTCATCTTCGCAAACCAAGCTGCAAAAAACATTCAAGTATTACATACCAAAGGAAATATTATAAAGAGATATCACAATTACAAAATGAGTAGAAAATTACCTCAGGCATCCTACACGCTGGCCATACAATCCCATATTTTTGGCGTATGACTGAGCAAGTCCTATTAAATGGCCATCATCAAGAAAAATCTTGATAGCCTTTGCATCTTTCTCTGGATTGCCACTAGCAAAACCTTGATATGCCATGTCAAAGAAGGGGAAATGGCCTTTTAACTGGAGACAAGCATAATGATGAACAACCAACAAAAATGAAACAGAAAAAATAAATCGCAAATTGCATACAGAAAATATAAATATCGTAAATGATTTACCTTGAATTGGGAAGATATCTCTTTCCATTGTTCCTCTGAAGGATCTACTCCAGTTGGATTGTGAGCACAAGCATGAAGCAAAAAGAATGAGCCGTTTGGAGCATTCTGTGCACAGAATACCAACTTTTAAGAAGCCAGAAGAGTGTCATGTACCAGAAAAGCGAACATATAAAATAAAAAGACTTGACCTATGGAGAATCAAGAAGCTATAATTAGTGGGGAAGAAATGACCTTTATCTCATCCATCAACGCTGCAAAATCCAAGCCTCTAGTCCCTGGGTGATAGTAACGGAATGTCTTCATAGGCACTCCAGCGTCCCTCCAAATGTTATGGTGGCTGTAATATCTCAAATTAGAAATAAATATCCAGGGAGGATACGGGCAAGCAGTCCCCCCCCCCCCTAATTGAACAGAGAAAATTGAAGGCCTAGAGGCACAGAAATATTCAAAAATATGCGCCCCAAAATACTCACTTGGACCACGTAGGGATTGGCAAATAGATTTGGGAGTCAGGATGAAAACGCTGTTGAAATGCCGCAAAAAGTCGGCATGCACCAGTCCCAGACAGAGACTGCACTGCAGCTATTCTTTTATTTTTGACGAACTCAGAGTTCTCTCCATAAGCCAGCTTCAATGATTCTTCTACCATCTTTATGCTCCCACCAATAGGAAGATACTCCCTGGCCAGGGAAGAAAAGAGATCAGACTACAATGACATGTGAAAGTAAACAATAGAATGTAAAAGATCATTTAAAGATAGTAAGATACTAGTAGAGGCAACAGTACACCCAGTATCTTTAATCTTTATATTATCAAATTGACATAGTGAAAGTATCATTCTAACAAGGTTTTTTTTTTGCTTTTACCATTATTAAATAAAATTCCAGACGTGGTAAATTTTAAAATTTCCCACCCATTCCACACCTTGCTCTAGCTGACAGTGGCGACAATAAATCTATTTACAAGGAAGCCTCATAAAAAAGTGAAATGTCCATATTATATTTCATCAGCCGGCCAAAATGGAATTATCACTTGGAAAATCTAATCCAAAGAAAGACTATTGTTTCAAGAACATTCATAAAAAAACAATAATGCATGATTCTGTAATCTCTACATCATCCCAAAAATTTAAGGCAAGGAATCAGGAATCAGGAGCCACAGCAAATAGTAAATTTGAAAGGATAAACGCAAACGCACTTTTCCCATCACAAGGAAAAAGAACTTAGAACTTGGCCAATGTGTTAATAATTCCAGTGGCAAAAGTATCATGCTCAAGTTTTTTGTAAATAGATTTCAGTGTACTTGAGAAACTAAGATACCTATTCTATGTACCAAACGCAAACTAAACAGCTTGGAAACAACTTTTTAAATGACATATACACCAAATATCCGATAATAGATTATTGTGCTCACATGTATTCATTTCCAGCTATCCTGCGCTCAGCTTCTCTGACACAATCAAGAACCACAGGCCTTCCATTGTCATCGCGATAGGCACCCTTCATAATTACATGAAAGCAAAAGCACGGGTTATAGAACGATCAAATCAATACACAGGTGACCAAAATAAAGGAAACCTATTTATTAAGTTGTCATGTATAAGCTGCCCCATACTCTATGCTAACTCTAAGTCTGTCAAAAATGTGAAGATATACTTAATCCAACTAAACTCGTAGCTGAGAAACAACTCCTTGGTCTCTGTTTCCCTTTTCTCACCGTTAGATATATTTCAGAAGTTAAACGATATAGTAAAATACAAAACGGAAAAATTTGAAGGAGGATGGAAAAGCTTAACGAAGGATATCCATCGGGGTGACTTCTTTTCATAGTAGTTTCAAAATTCCTCCACGATTGAATAAAGATTGATAGTAATATTTTACGATGAAGATAAGAATATGACAGAAAAAAGAAAATAAAAATTTCGCTCCAATGGATCAGGAACGTGAAGCTTATGCATAATCGTTGTGATTTCAACTATTCCATCCTTCTCAATTAAAAATCCCACACCTCGATGAAAGTACAGAATTAAATCAAGTACACAAAGCCGATTGTTGCAGAGCAAATGCACGGATCATCAATAACAAGTTGGCTACGTGAAACTGATACTCAAGCTAGAAAAACAAGCCAGGTGATCAAGAGTCTAACAAGGAAGGCTCATAATAATTTTGGTCCGTTGTTCACTAGTTCGCGATATTTACGAGAAGACAGACTAGAAAATTAACCGGCAAAGGAAAGGGCAAAATGGCAGAGAACTCACAACTCCAACATTGACTTTGTTAGGACTCTGATCAGCGAGGAAAGCTTCGGTAACTCCGAGAATCGGATCCTTGGGAGCAGGTTCGATGCTCCGCCACCATGAAGACATAAATCTGGCTCCGATGACAGAGCCCCGGGCAACGATTCGGCTTGAGGTAACGCTGTCAATCGGCATGATTCACTGTCTAAAGAGCAAGGAGACAGGCGTCAGAGGAGACTAGGATGGAGCCGAAGGGAAAAACGAGGGGGGAAGTGAAACTGTTGCGATACAGCTAAGCAGAGAAGAAGCGAATCGGGATCGTTTTTCTGCGCCAAGCAACCTTGAAATGCGTGTGTGTCATCAAAGTCTGTCAACAGTCCATCATCGTAAAATAATAATATATAATTATATGTTGGGCGCTTTTTTAACCCCGAAAAATATATACTGGTCGCCTTACCCTTACCTTTTCATGCAACGGAAATTCTGAAGCGAGTCTCCTTTGGTGTTTTTTAGCCCGATCATCAAGCGAGTCTCCTTACTCTTAGTTATTAGTCATTCATTGTATGTCTTTTTTGGCAATTATCATTGCATAGTATCGTGTTAAGTGGAACCCCAATATTCTTTCCTGTTCTTCTAGATTCCCTTTTTTTGGCTAAAAAAAAAAAAAAGAATTGGCCCCTCAGAAGCCGCCGCTAAATTGTTTAATATTATTCCTCACTAAATTAATTAAGAAATTATTAAATATATTGACGTAGAATTAATTCTTTAATAGATAGAATCTATTAGTTAAAATTTTGCATGGAATAAATAAAAATGGATAATTACAAATAGGTCTCAGATAAACAATTAATTATTTTGTGGATCCTATTTACATGTCAAACTTCCACTCTTGCACGTCAAATTTTTGCATTTACATGTAGTGAGAGCTTAGCTTGTGGGTAATTAAAGTTTTTATTTGATATATTTCTATATCTCTCCCAACAGAAATTGAAGTTAAAGGCGATGCTTATACTGATTCTTAAAAAATAAGCATGTTATTTTCTGGAGAAAAAAAGTACAAAATTCTCTTCGCACAAACTTTGCCACTTGTTCTCGTCTTTTTAAGACGGCCACACACATAAGAAGCCTGTGTGTCTGCGTTGCGCTTTTCATATTGCAAGGAGTAGACGGACAGGGACAGGGACAGGGACATGCTTCTTTTTTAATATAAAAAGGAGAGGATGATATGATAGGCTCGTAAAACATTAACATACAAATTGGATCGTTATTTATAGAATAATTTAAATTTTAAACTCTTATTTAATATATTTTAAATCTTAAATGATTAAAATTAGTGAAATTTTACTCTACCATTAAATTAAAGTAAATATTTATTTAAAAAAAAAAGTTTAATGTGTAAATTTTATTAAATTTTACCCTCCCTTTCTCTCCTACCCTCCTTTAAAAAAAAGTATATTAGACCTCATTTAAAAAAATAATAAATATTTGTTTTAATTTAATTATGAAAGTAAAATTGCATTAATTTTAATTACTTAATATTTATAATGTATTAAATAAGAGTTCATGATTCAAATTGTTTGGAACATTTAAAATTTAAATTACCTATTAATCTCCTAACAAAAGAGGCATTTTGTTGGACGCTGGTAAAAATCGTGGAATAGAGGGGCGGAAAAGCCGGGAGAGGTCTCTCCATTTTATCCCCTCTACTTCTCCCATTTCCACTATTTAAATTATTTTATTAAATAATTTTTTTAAATGATAAAATTAATGAGTAGTAAAGATGGGAAAAGTGGAGGGAAGTGAAGGAAAAAAAAAAATAAAGAGACCTCTTTCCGAAAGGGCCCCGTAGAATAAAGACGGCAGAATAAATTGGCGCCGAGAAAGTTGGTGGGAAAGGAAAACACGCAACCAACAGTCTAAAACAACAGGTCCGTACACCTGTTTAGTTTGTGGCTTCCTTGCTTTCGCTTTACTTTTGGGCCTTAGGCCTGTCTGTAGTATGCAAAATATTTTTAAACTCAATTATAAATTAATTTTATTTTTTAATTTTAAATATTTATTTTGTCATTATTCTAATATTAAAAATAATTAATGTCATTAATTATTATTGAATCTCACTATTTTGTTAATATTTTTATCAGGTTAAGGGTTATTTTTTTCTCTCAACTCAAATATTTTATAATAAAAATATTAAAAAATATAATATAAGGCCTACAAATGGTGAGAAAACAGCAGGTGATGAGGAAGAAATCTTTAAAGTTAAGGGATATAATTTACTCATAATTGAGTTTAAAGATATTTGTAACCTTTCATGTATAATTTAAAGATAAGAATAACTTTTAACCCATCAAATAAATATGGAAAAATTATGTTGAAGTCTCATACAAAAAATTAATTATTACAAGGTTCATTAATAATTAAATTAAGATCATTGATAATATAATTTATGTAATTTTGTCAATAAACATATAAAAAAATCAAAGCTGTTATGAATAAATATCAAGACAATAGAAATGAGAAGAAATAGGAGGAGGAGGAGGAAGAATAGAGACAATAAAATGAGGATAACTTCTTGTGCATGAACATCCACACATAATGTTTATATTTATAACAAAAGCCATATGCTATGCGCTTGTTCGGACAGCATAGATACAACTTTAGAGGCCAAAATTATGATTTTGTAAAAAAATATTTGAGCACTCTTATTATATATATATTAAAATTAATTAAGAATTTAAAATTATAATTTTTTAAAAACATCCAAACACTTATTGTACATATTAAAATTAATTATAAATTTAAAATTATTTTTTTATAAATACCCAAAAACTCTTTACTTTCAATTTATGATAAGTGAAAAACAATATCATAAATTCACATACACAAAAATTTTAATTAATAAATACAAGGAGTAGAATGAAAAAATTTTTAGAGAAAAACTTGTGTACTTAACTTTACATATTTAATATATTTTATCCAATTAAATTAGTATTGTAAATTTTTTATAGATTATTTATTTTATAATAAATTATCACTATTAATTTTATTAATACATTAAGATTCACTTATTATAATTTAATTGGATATACGTTTATTAATTATATAAAACTAGGTAAGGAAGTCTCACTCTCTTCATTCAAAAATGAAAAGTATTATTTAAGAAATTAAATATTTAAAAATTTAAGGTATTTTTTTATATTTTAAAGTGTAATATTCCATTTTTTTCTTATGCACAACATGTTTTACCACAAGTATACGGGTCAATATATAATATATTAATGCATCAAGGTCGATTCCATGAGAAATCAAGCAAAATAGTGATTAGGCAATAAAGTTTTTATTTTTGTTTACATTAGGCAAAACTGAGTAGAATTGATTAATTAATCAAAATCAAAATTGAATTTAACCTAATTAATTAATTTCAAAACTAATTTTGTTAATTGAGAGTTTTAATAGTCATTAGAGCCTTTCAATCCACTAACAACCTTGTCTTAAATTAATTATGTTATTTATAATACAATTATCTAAAGAGGCGACTTAAACCAAGAACACTCCATAGAGATTACATAGAGCAATTAGGTATATGTCTATCCTAATTACAAATTAGATACTCCTTTCGTTCAAAATTATAAGGTATTTTTAAACCAAATCTCACCTCCAATAAAATAATTACCTACTTTTCAACTTACCCTATTTTTTCACATTTGCCTCTATTAAACACCCTACAATAAATATAAAATCATTATCAATTGGGGTACTTTAAAAAAGAACGTAATGATTACACCTTAAAAAATTAAAAATATTTTACATTTTTTAACATTCAACTCCTAAAAAAATACTTTACATTTTTGAATGGAGGGAGTAAAATTTAATCCCATATTACTCAATTTAATGGTCTACATGAGATTCTCCTTTGTCAAGGAAAAATTCCAACACCTATAATCACATTTAATGTTGGCCAAGTATCAAATATACATTGAAGTACAAGATTGAGCAACTAAAATTAACATTAAGCATAACTAATAAGTAAAGATAAGTCTAATCCGTCAATAAATTCATAATTCCTCTAGGTCTAAGAGATTCAGCCACACATAAGCATGGAAATTGCAAAACTAAAAATACATCAAAATGAAGAAGAAAGGAGAATAAAATCTTAATTGAAGTGATTTGAGACGAAAATCACTAATTTCCCATGAAACTCAAACTTCTCCACCTCATCTATAATGTTTTTCCCTCTTCCATGGTAGTTTGGAGCTGCTGCAGACAAGCAAAGATGAAGACTACCAAGCAAAAATGCTCATAACTCTAAAAATGTCATTTTTTTTGTGAAGCTGTGTGTTTTAGTAACTTATGCTTATGCCGTGGCATAATCAGGTTATGTTGCGGTGTAAATCTCATTGCTAGTGTCAATGAATTATGTTGCAAGGTAATTCAAATATGATGCAGCATAAATTCTACCTTTTCTTCATTTTTGATATTTACTTACACATAGCACTTTAACTCTTAATTTAAATCACCCTACACACTATATAACATCATCAATGTAATTTTATCTTAAGTAATTCATTCATTTCAACAAGATACTATCAATTATCTCTTCTCATACTTAAAAACACTTTTCTTTCCTCAAATAATGGTCTTACTTTCTTTCAAAATTACTTAGATGGCTCCAAATTGAACCCAAAATTTTATAATAACACATGAAAATATTTGGGGTGACCATTTTTTAAAAGTGACCCTAATAAATAAATTATTTTATATTTATTTTAAAGTAAAACAATCTAGTAAATAGGATTAAGTATGAAAAAATAGTGTTAATTTAAAAACAAGTAACTACTTTATTAAGAATGAGATTCATTTAAAAATACTTTACATTTTTAAATAGAGGGAGTATAAATTTTTTTTTCACAAATAATAAATTACTTGTCTTTTGGACCAAAATTAATTAGAGAAAATGTTTGTATTGTGAACTGAAGAGAATAGTAGTCATTTATGATCAATATTTGTGAAGGAGATCCCTACCGTGAATAGAGGATACCAAATTAACGTCTTTGAATAGTGTCAATATTATTTTGTTAATAATAATAATAACAATAATTTATTACATATTAATCAATAAATTAGCAAAAAGTTATCATTTATTAAGAGAAGGAGGCAGGTTCTCGATATGTTGACCTTTGACTATTAATAAAAGCCAAGATCGGAGCTCATGTCATATTAATTTGTACATGTCTAATCTTGTTTTTTCCTACATTCAATTATACATTGTTGTTTTTTATGTTTGAAGTAGGGATGGTATTAAAATATAGCTTTTCGGTGTAAATGAGTTCTCCACATGTAAAAATTATAATATCATTTATAAAAAAGTTTTCAATAAGTTGATCTAAAAAATTATGATTTTTTGTTAATTGCTTCAGATTGTATACATTTACACATTATGCTTTTTGTTTTTATTATTTGCTTTACTCTAATATACATATTTGATCACTCTCAAAAGTATATAGGATTGATATAGTAATAATTCTTGGAATATTTCAAGAACAGAAAAAATAAATTAACTTTATTATTTATATAAACAAATAATAATTAAAAAAAGATATTTAATATTTAATCTCCAAAGTGAAATTTTTGCTGTTTTATGCCTATAGTGCAATTTTTCCTTTTTTATTTTCAAACCAGGGGGGGACGGCACTTTGGCAAATGCGCTGACCAAAAGCAAGTAGTAAATTATATACTCTTCATTCTGACCCTAAAATCACAATAAACACAAATTTTTGAATCACGGGTCTCCATTGCAGATTACAATAATGAGTTAACGACCCCATGTGCTTGTTTAGAATATTGTCTGGGGAGAAATTTACTATTGCAATGTTTTCATAACCTGCAAAATTGTAATATTACATTTTTATTCTATTGTATTATTAATTCATATGTAAAAAATATATAATGGTTTGAAGACGTCCAGTAACTCAATTAACACCATCCCGCGGGTTGGGATCCCGAGTTTCCATTAGCTATGAAAGAAGCTCAATCTTTCGAACCAGAGTCTGTTCCAGAAGATGATGTCTTACCTCATTCGTCTCATTCCTATTTAGATAGTATTTGGGCCAGTGGTTAAGTACCGCCACTCGGATTTAATTTAACTCGACCTGCCTTTTATCCGAAGCACTCTGATCCTTCTTTCTGATGTGTCGTAAACCACACAATTTTCTCCCACATAGTTTGTCGGTCAAACCAATGATTCTCTTTTCAAAGTAATAGAGAGATTCTAGTTAGACTTCTACTTTCCCTACCGAACTTCATTTACACCAATTCAATTTACAAGCCCATAAAAAGAATTGTACCCACATCGATGTACCGATCCTATGACTACCAATTCTCCAACTACTAATTCCCTGAAATGAAAAAAGGATTCTTGTAATTTTATGATTGGGAGTCTACATTGGATATGATATAATTATCTTTAATTCCTTTGTCATGGCATCTTAACTTATAGGGCATTTTATCCCTTTTCTGTCAGTCTATTTTTATGGGAAAATGTATTTATAATAATGCAACGGCTCTTTTCGTACGGATTAAGCTGATCACGTGAGATAATTAGATTACTTACAGTATTAAACTATTAATTAATACATAATTATAAAAAATCATCTGAAATTATAGAGTTATCAGCATGAATAATTCTTCCACTTCTTCTTACCAGTACTGATATACTTAAATATTTAATATGAAAACATAGAGGTTTATCATATCATAGTCTAAATATACAATTGAGAAGATGTCAAAAAGTTATATAAACCAATCCATGTTAGTATGTTATTGCCTTGGAGAGGCATCCTAATGGCTAATAGAATATGGATTATTTAATGCTGTTGTATACATTTGTTTACTTTATTTGAATTATCTTTGATTTAATTAGGATTAATTAAATTGTTTAAGAGTAATTATTTTAAAATTTAGTTTATATTTGATGATGCAAAAAAAATATCATACTGTTTTTAAAGATAGTATATTTTAATAGGAGATTAGAGTTCTATAAACAAAGCTATATATATAGGTTTATTAATTTCTTAATTTCGAGGGAGTATTTTTGTTACTTTCCCTCCTTTATCACTCCTTCGTCACCTTCACTTGTTGCACGTCGCATCCCAAGCATCTTCGATCGCAAGAACCGGTCAACATCATTGATGAATTTAGCGACGGGCGTCAACGTATGTTCTATCTTTGATGTCCATACTCGCATTTTGGACTTCTCATGTAATGTCCAGCAAGTGCCTAGTAACAACGAGGAAGCACTTTCGGATGCTGTAGCTAACCAACCCATGGTCAATGGCAGATGTAGGACCCTCAGCCGGTGGGGGCCTATTTTTTTATAAAAATAATAAAAATTATTTCATATAATTATATGATTTTTTATCAGAAAAATTATATAAAATTAATAATTAGGCTGGATAGAAAAATAATTGTATTAAATTTATCCTAATTTATTATTTAAAAAATTTTAGTTGTCAGATAAAAATTTGTTACTTCTGTTATTGATAATTCTCCAAAAGTAATTTCATTATTCTGCTCAAAATTCATAAACCTAATTCAAAAACATGCCTTGACGTGAAAAATAATATGAATGTATAAAAATAATAAATAGGATCATAAATTTAAAAATATATTTTAAACATATGTGCATAAAAAATAAATGATTGTTTTTTTTTTATGAAACAAAGCTCAAAAATTACTCAATATTGCACACTGTATGACAATCCTGGGCAATTACATGCAAAAGCCAATCAGATGAACAAAAAGGCAGAAACCAACAAAATCCCTCCCCCCTTCAATGCTTCTTCTTTCGCCACAGCATTTGCTACTTCTTTTCGATCTCTACTACACCACACAATATCAGTATCCGATCACAATCCAACATCTGCTAAAAAAAATATAAAAATGCTTTTATTTTGTTATAATATTTTTTTATTAGTTTTTTATTTTCCTTTTCTAATTCCCACTTACCTTTGAGCACCATTGTTGCCATCCCCCAAATTGCATTTCTCTACAATAACGAAGAAAATACATCCTCTTTATTTCTACAACACTTACAAGATTTCTTGGAAACATCCTCTTTGTTTCCATGGCTATATATGTTAGTTCCTTTTCAAATTTTCACCTTTGTCTGCTGTTTTGAAAACAGAGCTAAATAAGGTATAGGGTCTTTTAAATAAAAAAAAAATGCCCATCTCTCCCCCCAGTTAGACCAATCATACTAAACTAGCATAAAACTAGCATTAAAATGATGTATATGAACTAAAGATTGTCACCAAACACCAGTGTTTTACTATTCCACCAATTGATTTGACAATAAGAATGGTCTATGTTTCTTCAAATGCCATCTCCACTTCATGTTCTTCAAATACCATTGTCATATTCTCTGTCTCTATTGCTTTCTTAAATCTCTCAAGTTTTAACTGGGCTTATGTAGTGGGTGTGGAATTATGGGATGAGGAGGGGCAATGATGCGTGTATCAATACCACATACACGATGTTTAGAAAATTTGAGGAGGGCATCTATCCACCCTAAGATCAACGTTGGGTTACCACTACATATGATTATTAGTATTGAAGTTAGTGGGTCAACTTTTTGATTTTATGGAAGTAGAATTTTTGCAAGAGATTGTGGAACTGAACTTGACCGTACTATTATTATAGTTGGTTGTGGTGTAGCTGATGATGGTACTAAATATTAGCTAGTAAAGAACTCTTGGGACACTTCATGGGTTGAGGATGGGTTCGTAAGAATGAAGCTAGGCATTGATATTTAAGAAGGTTTGTGTGGCATTGCCATAGATGCCTCATATCCAATTGCTCATGAAGTCACATTAGAAACCCACCGTTGCTTGATTTCTTCTCCCTGTTTTTTTCACTTCTTTGTTTTGGCTATTATATCAATGTAAAAATATATCATCTTTCAATATTTCAATGTTATATGATGAGGAGTTTTGTTTTCTATATCAATTAAATAGCATAGACAAACTCAATGTTTTTACGCGATGAAAAAGAAAATTTTAATTTCAAATTAAAAACTTGACATAATGAATGAGCGAGCGGAATAAAAATATGTGCACAATCAATAGTCCATTAATTTAATATTTTACTCATATTTTTTGATTCTATTTATAAATCACTTTTAATATATTTCATCGGAACCAAAAAAAATTTAAATATCATTAACTCTGTCTTAAAATTTAATAAATTTTTACTTCTATCTTCAATAAAGATAAAAATAATTATTCTTAATAATTTTTTTCTAGCATTTAATAAGGGCACAAAAATAAATATGAACATATAAAATATTAAAGTGCCTTATAAATAGAATTTTAAAATTGATAGTCTCTTTCTACCTTATAAATGGGATTAGATGAGCATACAATAGAATATGGGACATGTACTTTTTCTTCCCTAAGAGAAAGGAGTGAGTGAGTGTGTTTAACTTGTTTCATTTTTTTTATTGCTCATAAGTGTCTTTTTATTGTAGGTAATTATATTCGAGCCACAGCTAGATACTAAATGTGGATATTTCTTTTAGTGAAAATTCAAAACTCAGCTTACTATATTGTGAGAAACTAACTCATTCCGTTAGACTAAACTCTCATTAATAAATTGTTCCATTTTGTTGGAGTATAGTCTACCCTTGATAAATTGGATCATATAACCATAAATCTAAAACAAATAGTAAATAATTAAAGTTGGGTACATTATCTGAATAATTTAGAGTTATACGTCGTTAGCGGTTACTACATTTTTAGGGGGGTGGGGGGCGATTTTAATTTTGTTTTTCAAAAAGCATGTATCAGCCCATACACCGATAGTGAGATAAATGGGTGAACTAGCTCCTGCGTTTGTGAAAAGAGCTCACATCAATTCCTCCCCCTTTCTCACTCAAAAAGCACCGTGTATTTATTGTAAAGATAAATTTCGAATTCGTCATTGTAATCTGGGATCTCCATGCAACAGAAGAGAAATTTTTTTAATTGCTTACATGCATTTTTTATTAAAAATAATCTTAATCTTATTTGAAAGATATGTTTAAATACAAATGTCGGACACTTCTCTTAGTAAGAATTGAAATCTTGATGAGTCACATCATAAGAGATTAATTATTTCTGTTAGATTCAACTCTTGTAGCCAACAAAAAAGAGGATTTATTGACCAAAAAACATTTCTATACTTTAGAAACCTTCACATTGGAATAAAAATATAAAAATATGTGCTGGAATGTTGTATACAACACTTCTGCTTGATCCAGAAAAATTAGAGCAGATCTGCACTTGGTAATTGAAAATTCACGCACACATATATCAATGAGGTTTGAATCCTCAACCTCAGGCGGAATGACATTGCAGACGTAAGTTCGCATCAAGTATGAAAATTTCGCGCCGGTAATCTAATGCTTCTGCAGTGCCTTCTGTCTTTGTTTTTTGTTTTGGAACTCTTGACATCGTATGGACGCTTGTCATGTCTGCATTGTGGGGTCGAAGACAACGCACCAATTTTGTGCGTGTCAGAATTTCAGCAGGGGCGTGTGGGGCACGTGGTAAATCCCCTCGGGTGGTGCCAGCTGGCAGTAAAGTTGGCGGGGGACCTTATCCATTTTTTCTTATAAACAAAAGTACTGATTAGCCTCTGCCTCCCATTTTGTTGCTCCCTCTTCAGTCTCCATGCCTCTTGCAGACCATTTTACCCTTATCATTCATCTTAATGACAACACTGCCATGCCACGTGAACAAACATGTGCAGCATTTAGCTGCCATTGGTTGTTGGCGGTCACGTAATTAGGACCGTTACTGTAAAGTCGGTACTGTACGAAACTGGAGATAAGGTTCGCGGTTGAGCGATTAACTTTTTTATTCTCAATTAATCACTCAAAATATTAATGGTTATCTGTAAAATTATCTGAATATTAACAGTGCTTTCCTATTTCACATTTCACGCCGTATTATTTTGAGGAAGCAGAAGCTGGAAAGGGAAGATCTTGTACATAAGGAAACCCTAGAATTTTCTGGTTATTTGTAATTTGTAATTTTCCATAAATTCGGCTACAACTTGCTACTCTATCAATAAGGATTGCTTTGCCGTTGCTTCAATCGTTAAGGTCAGTGTCAATTGCCAATATCGTTCTTGCCTAATCCCGATTTCTTTTCCGCAATACTAGGTTTTGAGATTGGCTCAATTTTCGTGCCCCTTTGATATTGGGGTTGGTATTTCAGTGCCTCAATTCTGTGAACATGATGTTGGTTGGAAAGAAACAGTATATACATATATTTTGTATCATCGTTCCTGCAATAATGGCTTCAGAATTGCCATTATTCATACTATCGTTAGGATCACAAGACTTTCGTTTGTATAATGCTTTTGTAAAGAGGTTGGTTTCTATGCTTCAGAATTGCCATTATTCATACTATCGTTAGGTTTCACATGTGGGGTGGACAAAGGGATTTGGGGCTTTCAAATACAGTAAACCTATACTATTGGTTACCATATATGTCTCAGCATTGTGGTAAAATGACAATTGTTTTCTGTTCTGCTTGCCCTGTCGTCCCTACCTCGTAGAAGAAAATGACAAAAACAATTACTGTGCTTGAGTAATTCTCAGTCAATTTTGTTCTACTATGGTGATATTGAGTATTCATAAGTAGCTTATGAATGTGGTGATATTATCTCTTCCAGATTAATGGCCTTTTCTCTCTCTTTCTCTTTCTCTTTTTCTTTTTCTTTTTAATGTGCAGAGCAGATTAGTTTTGTAGGAGTAATTTTTAGAAGAGCGTAAAGATGATGTCAAGATCGTATGCAAATCTTTTGGATTTGGCTTCAGGGAATTTCCCAGCAATGGGTAGGGAGTTTAAAGAAAGAAAGCGGCTGCCAAGAGTTATGAGTGTCCCTGGGATAATTTCAGAACTTGATGATGATCAGGCACATAGTGTTTCTTCTGATAATCCATCAACTGTTTCTACAGATAGGATCATCATTGTAGCTAACCGGCTTCCTTTGAAAGCAAAACACAAGCAGGACAATAAGGGGTGGAGTTTCAGTTGGAATGAAGATTCGTTGCTTCTACAGCTTAAAGACGGGTTTCATGAAGATATGGAAGTTCTTTATGTTGGGTCATTGGGGGTTGACGTTGATCCAGCTGAACAAGATGATGTGTCACAGTATTTATTGGATAAATTCAATTGTGTCCCTACTTTTCTGCCCCCTGATGTTTTGACTAAATTTTATGATGGTTTCTGCAAAAGGCAGTTATGGCCATTGTTTCATTACATGTTACCTTTTTCAACTGATAAAAACCACCGGTTTGATCGCTCTCTGTGGGAAGCCTATGTGATGGCAAATAAGATATTTTTTCAGAAGGTAGTTGAGGTAATAAACCCAGAGGATGATTATATTTGGATTCATGATTATCATTTGATGGTGCTGCCAACTTTTATAAGAAGGCGCTTTAACAGGGTGAAAATGGGATTTTTTCTGCATAGCCCGTTTCCATCTTCAGAAATATATAGGACTCTTCCTGTCAGGGAAGAGATACTTAAAGCTTTACTAAATTCTGATATCATTGGTTTCCACACCTTTGACTATGCTCGTCATTTTTTGTCCTGTTGCAGCCGCATGTTGGGGCTGGAGTATCAGTCAAAGAGGGGGTATTTAGGATTGGAATATTATGGAAGGACGATAAGTATTAAGATTATGCCTGTTGGGGTTCACATGGGTCGTATTAAAATAGTCATGAGAATGGCAGATGAAAAGTCTAAAATAAAGGAGCTGAAACAGCAATTTGAAGGGAAAACGGTCTTGCTTGGGGTTGATGATATGGACATTTTTAAAGGTATTGATTTGAAGATTTTGGCTATGGAGCAGATGCTCAGTCAACATCCTAAGTGGCAAGGCAGGGCTGTTTTGGTCCAGATAGTAAGTCCTGCCAGGGGTAATGGGATACATCTAGAGGGCATACGGGATGAAATCCAAGAAAGCTGCAGCAGGATCAACAGGATATTTGGGCGTCCTGGTTATGAACCTATTGTCTTTATAGATAGACCGGTTTCAGTTGCAGAAAAAGCTGCTTATTATAGCATTGCCGAATGTGTTGTTGTCACAGCTGTAAGAGATGGGATGAACCTAACTCCTTATGAATATATTGCTTGTAGACAGGAAATGTCTGGTTTTGAATCATGCACTAATTCCAATGGCTCAAAGAGCATGCTAGTGATATCAGAATTTATTGGGTGTTCTCCATCACTTAGCGGGGCTATCCGTGTGAATCCGTGGAATGTTGAAGCAACTGCGGAGGCAATGAATGAGGCCATCTCAATGGCTGATGGAGAGAAGCAGTTGCGGCATGAAAAGCATCATCGGTATGTTATCACTCATGATGTGGCTTATTGGTCTCGTAGTTTCTTGCATGATATGGAGAGGGCTTGCTTGGACCTTCTGAGGAAAAGATGTTGGGGAATAGGTCTTAGCTTTGGATTCAGAGTTGTGGCCCTTGATCCTAATTTTAGAAAGCTCTCAATTGATGCTATGGTTTCAGCTTACAAGAGTGCAGAGAGTAGGGCCATTTTGTTGGACTATGATGGCACTGTTATGCCACAGAACTCTATTAATAAGAGTCCAAGTCCAGAGGTCATCTCTATTTTGAACACACTCAGTGCAGACTCCAAAAATGTAGTTTTCATTGTTAGTGGGAGGGGGAGGGATAGCTTAAGTAACTGGTTTACTCCCTGCAAAAAACTTGGAATTGCTGCGGAACATGGATACTTCTTGAGGTGTGCTTTCTCTCTCTCTCTCTCTCTCTCTGTGCATCCTCAGCCGCACTTAGGGTTATGGACGCTTCAGCCGAAGCTTGTATATTCTTTGGCTTATACTTAAAGTGTTATCCTTTCTTGGTTTTGCCTTGCATTAATTTTCCTCAGATTATTTATTAAAGTTATACTGGAGATTTGGGATATTTGTTTCATTTTTGCATGGAATATGTTTTTTCTTCATAATTCACAATAATTTCCTTCTAATGCACTAAATTTAATGAGAATTGTATGGGGCGTCAAATGTGCTTTTCATGTTCAGTCTGATAGGATACAATTTGATGTAATCTAATTTGAATAAAATTTGCCTTTGTCCTATGCAAATGTTTTTATTTAGCCATCCTTCGAGGTGAATTTTTAAAATAATATACAATATGACGTAGTTATGATGATTTGAGGCAACTCATTTGTCATAGATATATCTTGTCTACAATCACGGTGCAGTGGCAAAAATTGGTAGTTTTTGAATAGTATGTTCTGTCATGGACTTTTATAGCTGAAATTTGATGCGCAGTAATTTCCTAATATAGTTATGTACTCAAAGGCTCCTAGAAGTTGGGCATTTTCATCTTCCTCTTCTTACACTTTGCTAACATGTACTTTCTCACGCTGCATCTTGTTCATTGTTCCTTATTTTAGTTCTGTTCCATAATCTCTACTCATATTGTGTCCTTCTAAAGACAAATTTGAACATCTTTTCAGGTGGTCTCAGAGTGAAGAATGGGAAATTTGTGGAAAGAGCTCTGATTTTGGCTGGATGCAGATTGCTGAACCTGTAATGAAACTATATACAGAGGCAACTGATGGTTCTGGCATTGAAAAAAAGGAAAGTGCTTTGGTATGGCAATACCGGGATGCTGACCTTGGTTTTGGATCTTCTCAGGCCAAGGAAATGTTAGATCATCTTGAAAGTGTTTTGGCCAATGAGCCTGTTGCTGTGAAGAGTGGTCAGTTCATTGTGGAAGTAAAGCCTCAGGTATTTAGCTAAGAGATTCAATTCAGTATTTGCTAAAATCTCTGCATAGATATGTGAAAAGATAGATGAAATAGCTTTAAGTTCCGTTTAGAGATGGACAAAACTGTTCTGGATGGATTTTAACCTCTTATTGCATGCAATATGCTGGAGGCATAAGTATCAAGCCTTGCTTCATCGGATTATGATTAGACTGTTATTTAACATACTTTGCTATACATCGATTTCTTTGGGTTGATAGCTTCCATCTCATAATAGTAGAGTTTATTACCCCTTAAATTCCTTTGAAATTTCACGTATCATTTAAGCACTGTCAGGCTCTGGAGTTTTAAAGCTTTAGGATAATTTATTTCCTGTTGTTTTACAATCATCTAAATGGCTGTGTTTAAAAGTTTTATGATCTGGCTAAAATCATCAATCTAATCTAAATAAATGGTTAGATATGACAGAATGTGTTCTTGCAAACTTAGGAATTGAGGAAAAACTAAATTTTATGTAATTATCATTCTAGTTTAATCTACAAACAAGTTATGATAAAAGAAAATTCTGATCGTGGGCTTTTCCATTAAACTGCGGCTAGTAAAAAGTGTTTTCTGGAGCAACCTGGTTGTTGAAGTTTTCAATTTAACATTGAAATCCTACTGGCACCCCTGCTTGGAAGGATCATCTGAGGTATCTGTCTTTGATTTGCAGGATGTGAGCAAGGGCTTAGTTGCAGAAAAGATCTTTTCATCAATGGCTGTACAAGGGAAACGGGCTGACTTTGTACTATGCGTTGGTGATGACAGATCAGATGAAGATATGTTCGAAATAATTAGTAGTGCCGTCTCTAGAAATATTCTTTCGGCCAATTGTTCCGTATTCGCTTGCACAGTTGGACAAAAACCGAGCAAAGCTAAGTATTATTTGGATGATACGATTGAAGTCATTAGCATGCTAGAATCTTTAGCTGAAGAATCTGATTCTGCTTAGAACAAAGCGGGGATTCCTCTTGCATGAGGTTTTCTTGGGTTAGGTGATCTTTACTTTTCCTCACTGTGGAATGTAATTTGCAAGATGAAGCGTTTTACAGGGGGACGTAGGCAGATTTTTTTTCCATAGAATTTCCTTAATTCTTCTCTCTTCGTCTGATAATATATTATATAATTTTTGAAACGTCCATTATTTTCTTGTTCCATCAATGTTTAGTTCCAGATGAGCAGAGAGATGTTTAAAGGGATTTTCAAATTATACAGAAAATGAAGAAAATGTGGAAACTATTGATTAGCAACGTTGTCGGAATCTACTCTAGGAGCGTATGTAAGATACATTATTCTCTGCGAGAAAGAATGTAAAACAAGAATCTCCACTACCATACTGACTTACTGTTCGGAATCTATAGTGTTATTGGCTCCCTCGCAAAGCCTAGGCTACAAAGAAAGGCAAGAAATTAACACAGATCTGACAGATTACTGATCACTGGGTCTTCAATATGCTTCATTTTACCGTGTTCCATTGCCCATTTCGAGAGCTTCTCCCGTGGCTCTAAAAATTGATAGAAGCTCACCTGCAATTAGTAGGTAACTGGGTCTCATCATAGCCATATTGTCGTTGAAGGACGACGGGTGATCCCTTGTCTCCTCACAAATCACAAACCTACAAACCGGGCACTGACCTTTGCTCCGTACCCATGGGACTATACAGTCCTCATGAAACACATGTTTGCATGGTGTAAGCATCACCTCCTCTCGGGGTTCAAAATCTTCCAGGCAAATCGCACACCTCTTGCGACGTTCATGCTTTTCCCTCTCTCTCTCTTTTAAAGCATTCACGACACTGTCTTTATAACATAAACTTACTCTCTTTGGTAAAATCTTTGGGGGCTGGTATATTTCTTTCTTAAGATTGCTCAAAACTGCTGATCTGGGATTTTCTACTGCTCTTGGTGGTGACTGCGGCACAATCTCTCCGATCATGGGGTTCAGCCCCCTTCTTATGCTGCCATTGAGTCCGTTATTTGGTTGTCTGCGATGTGGTTGTGTTGGAAAACTGCGAAGAGTCCCAAAATGGGCAAATCAGCCAGGGTATTACTTTATCCCTAAATAGCTAACTCCTGTTCTGACAGGAAAAATAAGAGGTTATGGAACAAGGCAAAATACAGAATTCGCAGAGAACTTTTCCAAGCGCAAGTGCTTCCATATAAAATGGTAATCATGGACATAAATATTCGGACACCAGCTTTCAAAACGAGTTTACTAGTTTGGGAAATGGTGAATTAGTGGTTACCTGGATGTGCCGTTGAGTCCAGAATGTGTTCTGTCATCCATCAACCTCGGGGGATCTTGCGCCCCTGAAATCCTGTCATCCTGGTAATATAAGCCAGATAATATTTTATCATCCTCAAAAAAAAAAAAAAAAAATCTTCCGTTTACGTTATGCTAAATACCTCAGTTTTTGGATGAGAATATACTTACAGGAGTAGGTTGGATAGAAAGAGATGGGTAAAATGCAGGCGTCTCATGGTAGCCACCATGGTTATCAAAGGCTCTTGCAACGCCAAATCGCCGAGCACCAGGTAAAGGTGAGAAATTGTTTGAATTTCTGTTCATGATTTCACGATTTCACTTTCCTCTTCATCATCTGAGTTTACTCTGGTACTTTCCTTCCTTGGAGGTATTTATAGCTTGTTTTCCGACTTGTATTTCTGGCTGCATACCCTTTAGATGTGGCTGAGAATATATCCTTCATGATTTCTCCTTTTCTCTAGCTGAGGTCCTCTGTTTTCTATTCTTATCCAGAGTCTGATTCTTCGCTGTGACACAGTTAAGAAGCGAATGCAATTACGAAAGAATCAAATTCTTGGAGTGCAGGCGGCTGTTTTAGCTTCAATACTTTCCAGATGGCCGCATGACAAATATGCGTGACTGGACCCCACTTAAACCTTTCAAACTCTGTAACCACTTTAGCATTTGGGTGCATCATAATTCATACATCACGTGTGAGTAGCGTGTTCTTTTTTTTATTTTTTTTTTTTGGGGATTACAATCGGGGAGCGTGTTCTTTTCTTTAGGGACGGGAATAGTTTGAGGGATAAGGGAATAGGGTTCTTCTACTAAAAACTAAAGTCTGCTAATCAAATAAGATAAGTGCGCAAATAATCTTGCAAGCTTGTGACATGTAAGTTGTAGGAGGTCGAGTTTCGTCTCATTTGTAATCTCATGCCCTTAATGGAAGGGAGAATTTTATACCAGCACCATGGATATGATTTAATAAAAAATCAGGATCAAATAAATATGAAAATACACTAGAGACTGTTGGAATTTAAATAAAAATAATTTTGTAAGGCAAATAATTAAAATGACCTTAATAGAAATAAATATGATTTATTAAATATGTAACATGATTTGTTAAATTTTTTATATTAGTTGCTAAATCTATAATATTATTTGTGAATTTGTTAGGTCCCACTTAAATCTGAAACCTGTTGAATCATTATCTTAACTTATGCTTGTTAAAAACATCACATTGCTTATTAATTCTCTTATTTTACTTGATAAATTTATTATTTTGCTTGTTAATTATTTAAGTTGCGTTAAATACGCTATGCCTTTTAAATTATTAATTTAATTTATAAAATCTATTATATTACTTGATGCCACAAGTAATAATTTAACATGCCATGTTAACTTACTAACTTGAAAAATGTATTTTGGATTTAGCAAATAATGTGAAAAATGTAATAAGTCATGTTAAATAGTAATTTACATTCTTTTTCTTCATTTCTATTAAAAACATTTTAGTAATTTGTCTCACAAAAATTTATTTGGTCTTGATTTTTAAATCACGTCCATCCATGTTTCAAACAGGAAATTGTCCCTAGAAAAACAAAAAAAAAAACCCTGTCCACTTTCGTTCACTCCTCGCACTTGATAATGGTTTGATAATGGGGGTAGCTCGACGACAGATTGTCGTGGCTCCTCTCCACTATTAATGGGATTAGAATTTGATAGTAATAGTAAGCCACTGGCTCCTGCGTTTTATCTTTCCTTGTGATTCAAAAATGCTCTCAATGTCAGTTTTTCTCATAGGCAGTTCATCATAACCGTTCTTCTCATGTAGCTTGTAGAAATGGATCAGGTGGAGCACCACTAATCAAATCAGCAAGAAAACTAGCTCCATTTCAAAAATTTTCACAATAACAAAATACAATTAAAATCCAACTATGATGTATGTGAAGCACTAATTTATAATTTATAAAATATAATATAAGATTTTATCAAAAAGAGTCATCACCATGTACTTCCTTTATCCAAAAAATAAGAAGGGCCCTTACTGGCCAGTTAGAGGTGTAGGATCAACTATAATATCTGAGTTTTTAGAATCTTATAGTCCAACTCCCATAACTTCTTGCTTATTCTAATGGTGCTCCAAAATTAATCTAACACATATGCTAATAATTCTCTTGCCACTATGCATATTTATAATTTCTCTAGGCTTTATTATTGTAAAATTTAATAATCCTAGGTCCACCAATTTCCTCTTTCAATAATTCTTACAAGCATTATAAGAACCTTTACGATTAATTAAATTATATGGCTAATATCTAAGCAAAATTAATAATTTTCACATTTAGTTTCTTCACCACAGTTTCAGCTTCACTTAATAAGAAAAGAGAGTGTCTAATATTAGCTAAAACAACACCTAAATCTTCCTACAAGTCTTATGATAGAACCATTGAAGAATAGAGCATCAACCTCAGCCAGTGAAAGGGAAAAGGAAGGATTCACGTCACTATTGGAATTGAAGGAGTAGGAGGAAGAATCAGTATATTACCTCTATCAAAGTGTAATGATAGCTACTATGCACCGAGATCTCAAACCAAATAAAGAAGAGTGTCAATGCTTCAACTCAGCACTGACATCCCTGTAACTGAGAAGAACGACAAAACCGTATCTTCCTCTTCTACCATGACAGATGAACGAAGATAAAGGAGAGGATGAAGGTGACAGCAACGATATAAGCCCAGTGATAGACTCTCGATGACACAAAATAGCACAATAACAATGGAAAAATATTAGCAATCCAACTCACAGTGGCTGGCATGAGAATGATGAGGTCGACAGTGACGATGATGATAGTAAATGAAGCAACAGCCACACAAAAACTCCCAACTATCAACCAAGTAAGGATGTAGGCAAGAGTTTCATCGGCTAGAATAAAGGAGAAGAAAATAAAATAGAAACCACAAGTTGTTGGATCAATGTTGGACAAAATAGCGACAAACACATCAGCAAAGGTTGTAATCGAAAAGGACGAAGGAAAAGGTGCAGGAGAAGGATCAAATAATAACTGTATCAGAGTTGCTTCTCTCTCCCTCTCTCTCCATCTCTCTCTGTACAAATAATGTTGCCATATTTTTAGAGCAAAAATAATTGATGCCATTTCTAAATCATGGGTTGGATAATTTTGTTCATGTTTCTTAAGTTTCCTGGATGCGTATGCAATTACTTTCCCATTTTGCATTAAAACACAACCAAGACCAACCTGTGAAGTATCATAATAGACTACATATTCACCTGTCCCATTCCAAAATTGGCCATGGATCACAGTGTTTGGAAATATATGTTGGTTGCTATGGGTGCATAAATGCCAAGATATTTTTGAAAGAACTAACCATCTTCGTAGTGACAATATCACTGTGTGTAAAATTAAAAGAAACTAGTAGAGGAAAGAGATTTTGGCTTCCTTACACTAAAGTGCAATAAAGAAGCAAATTTTGACCACAAATTGATGGCTTCAGTGCAAGGTGCAACACGAGTGAACGTGGACGCATCTGGTATTCATTTCAACAATACAACATGTGGGGGATTAGCAAGAAACTATAAGGGCGATTGGCTTGGTGGCTTTTCATGTAGCTTGGGTAACTTTCCAATTACGATTGTTGAGATTAAAGCCATTAAATATGGCTTACAACTTTGTACGGAACTACACCTAGAAAAGATTGCCATATTCTTTGACTTATTGGAGGCAATTAACTACATATATAAAGGAGTCAACAAAGCTCATCCACTCCTTGAGGACATTCTTGAGGTGTAGGAGATTCTATTTGCTCATAAGGAAAATGAACTTTTGTAAGCTCCTCATGAGCAAATGTCTTATGCAGATTATTTGGCCAAAATGGCTTAAAGCTCATCCACTGAATTAGTTTTTCTTAAGGATATTCCTAATGGTTGTGAACCATTGCTTTTGGCTGACAATGGTGGGGGTTTATCCCACTAATTGCTAATATACTAGCACTAGGCGACCTTCTCTTCCAGCTTTGGATAGCCTAATTGATGATTAACAAAAAAAAGAAAAATGCTCTCTATGCCATCCATAAGAAGATTTAGGGCATGGTTAAGAGATGGGGAGTTCAAGAAGGTCTTAAAGCTTAAAGCTTTACCATAAGTAACTTGACTTTTCCCTTCAAATTTTCTTGAATCGCCCAGGGATAAAATTCTTGAGTTCACGATCTAATTAAGGCAAATTTATTTAATATGCTAATTGTTCTGTATGAGTAATATTGGGGATTTGGTCCATCATATCTTGGATTGGGTTGATATTTATTTGATGATGAAACTTTATGATGTAAACTAGAGTCCTATGTATCTTGTTAACTTTGTGAGTGGGCAATCTATGGAGTCTCAACTTTTAATATTACTCTATTCATAATAGCATCTCTAAAAAGAGAACACCAACAAGAAGTTTTAGCTTGTGTAGAATAACATAGTTTCAGCATGAGATTGAAATTTTGAACTTGATTACATGTAAATCTTTAAAAAAAGAAATGAAAACCTTTGAATCAATATTTATCTTATATTATTATTGGTGGTTATATTTTCTCCATTCAATTTAATAATATAATATATAAAATGTCTTGACATATGTACATAAGAACAAATCAAATTCTAAAGAAAATGACCTGTTATTTACAAAAGTTGCATTATATATAGTTATACTTATAAAATATTAATAACCTTTTTTTTAAAAAAATATATCAGTTTTTTTACCAACTATTAATAACCTTTTTTAGAAAAATATAGGATAAATATGTAAATTTATTCAGAAACTTTTCCTCCAGGAATGCCCAATATACTCAACTTTTTTTAGAGTAATATTGTCCTAAAACTCTCCAAAACAGTGCAATATTACTTGCTATCAAAATTGATTATTTTGTTTGATCAAACTTGACATGTGGCTATCACATTGCATTTTTTAAAAATTAAAAAAAATCATAAAAGTGTAAATTTATCTTGAAACTTTTCCTTCAGAGGTGTATACTATTCTCAACTTTTTTGGGGAGCAATGTTGCCTTACTGTTCAAGTTGACCATTTTGTTTAACTTCACTTGTCACATGACATTTTTAAAAAATTAAAAAAATAAAAATAGCTATGCTTTGTTCTCATCAGCTTCTTCTTTTTCATCCACAATACTAAAAACACAAAATAACTCAAAACACTAAGATAAAAAATCAAGTTCAGATTTTCAATATGAAAAAACAATCGAACACAGATTTTCAAAATAAAAAAAAATTAAAGACAAGGGGCAAAGAGGAAGAAAATAGAAAACACAACTCAAGAACTCAACAATTCAAGAGCAATTCAAAATATCTAAAAAAACAAGAACAAAAAATTAACAACTTAGATTGACCAATGCCAAGCAGAGAGAAGTAAACATTGTCAGATCGACAACAAGAATCTCTACAAAACTAAGCACTTTTAATAAAAACTCAGAACTTCCAATTCTAATAGTAACAATTTTCAAACATGTAAAGCAAAAACATTAGAAATCTCATGCAAGAAGCTCTGGCTCTTCACTGGCCTTGGGTTTCTCATGAGCATCATTGACTGTGAAGGAGGGAGGGGACAACGAACCAGTTACCATGAACCAGTGAGTGATGTGGATGATTGAAGAAGTTAGGGAGCTAGAACTGCTTTGATAGAGGCCACCTATATATGCATATTTTTTTTTAAATGTCACGTAGCTATCATGTGACAAGTGAATTCAAACAAAACAATTAACTTTGATAGTAGGGCAATATTGCATCGTTTTGGAGTGTTCCAAAGTAATATTGTTCCAAAAAAAAAAGTTAAGGATATCAAGTGCCTCTGGAAAAAAAATTTCAAAATAAATTTACAACTTTATTATCTTTTAATTTTTTTTGAAAAAATGTCATGTGGCTAGTTTAGTCAGATAAAATGATCAATTTTAACAGCGAGATAATATTGCACCATTTTGAAAAATTTCAGAACAATATTGCTCTTAAAAAAAGTTCAAGATATTAGACACTCTTAAAAAAAGAATTTTAAGATAAATTTACAATTTTGTCTAAAAATATATATAAGTTTATTTTGTTTGTTTGTTTTTTCAACTTTCGTATCAGTCTATTTTAATGAAAGGTCGAAGCTTCGGAGCAAAAGCCTATAGACTAGCAAAAGAAAATACGGAGTTTGTTCAGTCAACGGTGACTTCGTTTTTTCTCTGTTTCCAAGCAACGAAAACTTTACCATCGAAAGTGTTAGCCATCATCGTGAGCAAAATTGAGGATCTCTGTTGTGTTTAGGAAGGGAGCTTCTTGCATTGTTGAAATGAATTTTCATGGCTTCCCTGGCAGCTCATCTCCTCGGAGGACCTGGAAATACGAAGTTTTTCTGAGTTTCAGAGGTGAGGATACTCGCAACAGTTTCGCTGGTCATCTTTTTTCTGCTCTTCAACGGAAAGGCATATTTACGTTCAAGGATGACAAAAGGCTCGAGAAAGGAAAACATATTCGACCGGAGCTCCTCAAAGCAATTGAGCAATCCCGAATTTCTTTTGTCGTCTTCTCCCGAAAATATGCCGATTCCTCGTGGTGCTTGGACGAACTGGCAAAGATATCTGAGGCAATCGGCGAACCGGGATGCTTCGTTGTACCAATTTTCTTCGACATCGATCCATCTGATGTTCGAAGACAGAGTGGGAAATATAGAGAATTCTTTGATAAACATGAAAAAGACTTTGGTGATAATATAGATAAGGTACAAAGATGGAGGTTAGCATTGACTCAAGTGGCCAGTCTCGCTGGTCATGATGTACGAACTAAGTAAGCAATCTTCTCTTGTTCTCATTTTTGATTTTTCTGATTCATTTGTCCTGTTCATTTTCCCTTCGTGATTCTGTACTTGTCAACACTTATCTCCTTGTTCCCTTGGGTGATAATTAGGAGTTTCCTCTTTTTTCAGATCAGAGGCAGATGTTATTGAAGAAATTGTTACAGATGCAATACGCAAATTGGGTCATAGATTCTCGAGTCTGGCTGATGATCTGGTTGGGATGCAGTCTCGTGCAGAAGCTTTTGAAAACCTTTTAGATTTAGAATCAGAAGATGTCCGAAAGGTAGGGATGTGGGGGATGCCGGGAGTAGGGAAGACTACTCTAGCTGCGGTTGTGTACGATAGAATCTCTCACCGATTTGATGCTTGTTGTCTTCTTCTCGATGTAAGTAAAGTTCATGAGGGTCCTGGTCTTGTCCGTCTACAAAAACAACTCCTCCGCGAAACACTGCAGGAAAAAATAGAGATATTTGAGCATCACAGAGGAACCAATTTAATAAGCACTAGGCTTAAACACCTTAAAACTCTTATTGTTGTTGATAATGTTGACCATGCGGATCAATTGGATAAATTGGTTGGAAAGTCAGCATGGTTTGGGCCAGGGAGTAGGATCATCATAACAACTAGAAATTGGCATATCCTAAATGGGCATGGAGTGGATGAAGTTTACGAGGTTAAACTACTGAATGATGAAGAAGCTCTTCAACTTCTCTGCAGAAGAGCCTTCAAACAAGATGATCCCTTGAGTGACTTTAGTGGGATGACTCATAGTCTGCTACAATATGCTAAAGCCCTTCCACTAGTAATCAAAGTGTTAGGTTCCTTTATGTATGGGCTTGAAGTATCAGAGCGGATTGCTCAGTTAGACAGATTGAAAGAAAATCCTGACCAAGAGGTTATGGGAGTTCTTGAAACAAGTTTGGCTCGGCTTGAGAAAAAGGACAAGGATATATTTGTGGATATTGCTTGTTTCTTTAAGGGAGCAGAGGAGATCTATGTCACAAAAATTCTAGAACATTGTGGATTCATTCCTAAAATTGGAATTAGAGTTCTCCGTGATAGATCACTCCTCAACATTGTCAATGGAACATTCTGGATGCATGATATGCTGCAAGAATTGGGATGGAAAATTGCAAAGGGAGAATTTCCTGATGACCCAGCTAAGTGGAGCAGGCTGTGGTCATTCAAAGACATTCAAACTTTGAAGACAGTAAGTTTTTCTTTTCTTGATGATTACTTTACTGAGGTTTTGTTTTCTTATTCTTTCATTCATATAATTCACGGAATCCAACATGTCCCTTTACTCTATAATGTGCTCATGCTTAGGGAACAGAAAAAGTTGAAGCCATCGTCCTGAACCCTGAAGATCTGCAAGAGACACCATTGAAGGCTGAAGCTTTATCACAGATGAGCCGTCTCAGACTAATCATAATCCCTAATAATGTGAAATTTTCAGGAAACCTCAATAACCTGTCCAGTGAGTTACGATTTCTTTCGTGGCACCAATTTCCTTTCAGCTCTTTACCATCGAGTTTTGAACCAGATAAACTTGTTGAACTGATCATGCCTGACGGCAATGTAAGACAACTATGGGAAGGCGAAAAGGTACAATATTGTTATGTTTTGTCATGTTAATAGCAACCGAGAATGGTGGACGAGGCTAAGTGATTAACAAATGAATGATTATAAATATCTTTTTCTGCGTACGATACCCTAATTTTAATGAAGTAAATTAAACTAAAAAATGGTGGCTAGCTGATTGTTTTTGCTCCTTCACAGAGGTTGCCGAAGTTGACGGTCATGGATCTACGTGGCTCTAGAAGTCTTATCAAGACGCCAAATGTTAAAGGAGTAGAAAATCTTGAGAGGTTAGATCTTGAAGGATGCACTGGATTATTGCAGGTTGATCCATCTGTTGGAGGTCTGAAAAAGATCACGTTCCTGAATTTGAGAAACTGCGATCATCTAATCAGCATCCCAAACACCTTGTTTCTCTTAACTTCGCTTGAAATTCTGAACCTTTCTGGCTGTTCAAGACTTGCAAAACGTTTGAACTTTGAAGGACCTCGATAGAACTGAAGCCGATGAGCAATTAGTATTCTCCATCTTTTCCTTCTTCAATAAATTATCCTACGTTAGCTTTTTCATACCAGAGTGGTTGTCTTGTTTCGTCTATTCAATTTATCACCCGTGGATTGAATTATGCATATTGCAAGCACATTTTCATTGGTTGAAAATGTTGAATCCAATATATACGTCTTGTTTTTAGAATTATGCCGTGCAAAAGTCATCTTGACAAATTTTTCTTTTGTTATAATTTGGAATGGTATGGCCACAGGAAAAAGAAAATTTAGGGACCACTTGTATCATCCTTACTTTTAAAGTTTTAACATTAATATCAAATTCAATAGTCAAGATCATTGTTTTAAGAATTACATTGCAAGGTCAGGTTGGTTGGACCATTGATTGAAGTTGTTAATGGCTTGATTTAAACTAAAAAAATCATTTTTATAGTTCAACCGAAAATTGATACGTCATTAAGTCAAAAATTGAAGTTAAGTTGAGGATTAGATTTAAAAAAAAAAAGGCCGATTGAATCTAAATATAATATTCTTAAAACTAGTTTCTTAATTAACATTCTTAAAAACTTAATAAATAATAAATTATAATAACGTTATATAATTTATATAATTAATTTTATTTAATAAGATAAGGTTTGCTGTTGAAGACTTGTAATCAAGTCTGAAAAAAAAAACATGCGCATGCCAAATGTTACTCTCTCTCCTCCTTTCTACATGTCATTCTTTATTTTCACATCTTGATCACTCAATTGATCATATTATGATTTGTGACAATTTCACTCTAGCAAATTATTCCATTCCTTTCCATGGGATGCAATGGTCAAAGGTTTCGAGAATGAGGACAGACGCAATGGGACAGACCAAGACGCGCCAGGGTTTTCTGACTAAATTGTTTATACCCCAGTAAAACAGCGACTCTTCTCGACATGTTAATCATTCGGGACCTGTATTTTCGACGTGTCCTCTTTTTGCTCGGCGACTCAACAAAGCCGTTCATGTCATCTAGCATTCTGCATCGTTCATGTACTGTAATGAAGGAGGGGAGGCAGAACTTCTTTCTATAACGCACGACACGTGGCATCATGCATCACGGTGAATGACAAGGACGGCTTTGATGTACGCGTTGCGCAGGGACGCCTAGAAAGAGGGTGAGAACAGTTACTCATCATAAATAATGCCAACCTCACACGTTGAGCCGTCATACAAGTTAAAGAAAAAACAGAGAGAGAGAGAGAGTATTAATAGATTGATAAGAAATATAAAAGGTGCAGGAGAAGTATAGCCATGTTTGGTTGCTGGACTAGAACAGAAATAATTAAATTCCCTTTGTTGTTTATAGTAATAATAATAAAATCTAATACCATATATATAAATATAAAAATTATCACATTTCCATGAATCAGATTAATTTAATAAACTAAATTACTCCTTTTCTTATAAATATAATTTATCCAATTTTTTTTTTTACCGGCCAATGGAGATTCATTGACAGTGCAAGGCAAAATGCCAATGTTTGGAAGAATGAAAAACAAGACATATAGTAAACAAAGTGCAGCAACTAAAGTAAACGACGAAGCGACAAGGTGGCTAGACATTAGAGTTTAGACAATTACCTCCCGCTCCGCAACAAGGGACGATGCAGAATCCACAACAGCACCTGAATCTTTGAACAAAAACAAAGCCAGAGGAGGTGGTGGTGATAGCACCCAACAAAATGGTTCCAACTCCCTTAAAGCCAAACCTGCTCGATAGTCATTGGCACAGTTCTCATCCCGATGAATGAGTGAAAAGGAGACAGTGTTCAAAGAATCAAGCCTGTTCCAAATTTCAAGAACTAATGGATGATACTTCCAATTGCATAGTTGGGGAGTTCTGCTAGAAGAGAACTTGTACACCTCAGCACAATCAACTTCAATAATACAACCCATACAATGCTAGGTACGTGATAGATCCAGAGCTTTTTTAGTAGCTTGTAATTCTGCCATTATCATTGAATCAGCTTTGGTGTTTTCTGTGCAGCTGGCTAGAAACATGCCACTTGAATCAGGAGCTACCATTCCTATTCTAGCATGTCCATTCCTCTTGCAAAACACCCCATCACAATTTAGTTAAATGAAACCACCGGGGGGTTTAACCAAGCATCTAAGTTCCTTCCCCCTTGGGTCAACGGCTTTGGAGCTAACAAGCCACGAGCATGCTAAAATTCATGTAAGCTTGCATCAGTAAGTACAATAAGGCATCCAAGTTTCGGGAGGTCATCATCGAAAGCCATCTTGCATCGAAACTTTTAAATATGCCAACAGAAGTGGGCTACATATAGAGTTGGAAATTCAGAGGGGCCGGGTAGATTCGAGCTTAGCTCAAATAAGCCCAACCCAAATATATCCGACTTGTTGAAAAGCCCAAATAGCCAAACTTGGCTTGAATTCTTTCAGTTTCGGACAGTCTAAATATCTAAATTTTATTTTTAAAATCATTTTTAATTAAATTTTTTGCTTTAAAATTAATTATTTTATTTTATAAAAAATATAAACATATAATGTTTGGATGCTTAAATGATATACAAGACTCAAATATATGATATTTTAATAAAAAATAACTTAAAATTTAAAAAATTAATTAATATTTATTATAATATATATATTTTTTATTCGGGGTATTTAAGCCTATTCAGGTTGGCCTGAACAAAAAAAAAAATATCTTTTTCTCAAGCCTAAACCTAAATTTTTTCAAGTAGATTCAGGTTTAGCCTGAATTATTGGTTCTAGCTACATATGCCTTACCATAGTTATCAAATGGTGACTGTAAGCATATTACATCATATATCCAGCATCGTGTGTTTCTAATTCTAAGAGGATCAATCAAAAGTTGCAAATAACATCAAAACCACCCTGCTATAGCCCACTCACAAAGCAAGAACAAATGCTCCAAGGATTCAGCGGACAAACCACATACCTTGTAGAGAGGGTTTGAATCTGTTATTATTATCCTGATAGGATACTGTCTCACGCCCATGAAGTCTTTGGACCTTTTTAAGCATTCAAGAATGAACAACTGGGGAAGTAAATACTTTTTAACATTCTTACCCATAAACAATTTGGGTTTTTCAATATTCTCCATGCCTTTTTAGCCCGTAGGGCAATATTAAAACCCATGAAATCCTTGAAGCCAAGCCCCCCAACGTATTTTGACTCCCTCAAATGACTTTGTGACTTCCAATAAATACTACCACCCTTTGTATCATTGTCTTAGAAGAAATTAGATGCTATCCTATTAAATTCAAAACATGTCTGTTTGGGAAACTTGAACATCGACATCGAAAAGATTGGAATAGCATTGACCACAAATTTAATCATCATATCCCTCCCTGTAAAAGATAGCAATTTCCTCTTCCAGTTCATTACCTTTCGAACCATTTTGTCCCTAACGTAAGCTAGGACAGCTGTTTTCACCTGCTGTATGGTTTTTTCTACCTACTCTAATATAAATGTCTAGAATTTATCCACCCACCTTCCACATTTTAATATTTTATTATCTTTGTTTTTTTAATTCATTTCATTCATTCAAGCAACAAAGCGATACTAATCCATTCATTACTTTACCATAATTTGTAGCCCCAAAATATGTCATTTTCTTGCCAATCACCGATGAAATCAACAATTTCAAAGGGAGACTAACTTAGCCCTGGCATTTCTAAAATGAACAGTGACAGCAGTCGAGCATCTGGCCAGATCTGGAAATATGATGTGTTTCTCAGCTTCAGGGATGAGGACACGGGCCTCAATTTTACCGATCATCTTTTGGCTGCTCTAAGAAGAAAGGGCATATTTACCTTCATTGATAGAGAGCAGACATACACCATAAAAGCAATTGAGGAATCCCATATTTCTATCATTATCCTTTCCAAAAACTATGCCAACTCACCATGGTGTTTGGAGGAACTAGTAAAGATCATGGAGTGCCGATGTTGTAATGGGCAAACTGTTCTGCCAGTATTTTATGACGTGGATCCAAGTGATGTAAGATATCAAAGATGGGTTTACAAGGAAGCCTTTGAAAAACATGAAGAAAGGTTCAAAGACGATTTAGCCAAGATATAGAGGTGGAGGCAGAGCTTGAGGCAAGCAGCCAGTATGACTGGTTGGATACCGAGGGATCGGTAATGTTCCTTATTACTTGTTCATGTTTTTATGACTGCTTTTCTGTTTAAGACAAATCATGTTTGAAACCTGTTAAGGAGAACTGCTTAAAATTTAAATATATATTTGCTTCTTTCTTTTTTCTTTTTCTGCTTTATTGGGGTTTACGATTCGGGGTTTTTCTTCATCCTTTCTTCAGGTCAGAGGCAGATGTCATTGATAGCATAGTTAAAAGGACCATAAACATATTGAGTCATAAATCCTTAAGTGTGGCAGATGACCTAGTTGGGATTCAATCCCGATTAGAGGGATTCAACTGCCTTCTGGGTTTAAGATCTGATGCTGTTCGAGTTGTAGGCATTTGTGGGATGCATGGAATAGGCAAGATGGCTCTTGTTTTAGTCATGTATCATAAAATCTTTGACCAATTCGAAGCCTGTTGTTTCCTTCCCAACGTAAGTTAATTTTCCAGAAGTGATGGTCTAACCGCTCTACAAGAGCAATTTCTTCGTGCGACACTCAAGTGGAAAGAAGTAGAGATATGCAGTGTTTACGAGGGATGTGATTAGATACAGAGGACGCTAAATGATTGCAAGACTCTCTTGATTCTTGATAACGTTGATGACTTGGAACAATTAAAAATTTTGGCTGGAAAGTGTACATGGTTCAGGGAAGGGAGTCTAGTCATTATAATAACAAGAGACGAGCATATCTTTAAAAGGTTTGAAGTGGATGGAATTATTAAATAAGGACGAGGCTCTTCAACTTTTTTGCAAGTGTGCCTTCAGATGTGATTCCCCCTTAGAAGGTTATGAGGAGCTGACTAATAATATATTGGAATATGCCAAAGGTCTCCCGTTAGCAGTTAAATCATTGGGGTCATTCCTGGTTGACCGAAGTGTCTCAGAATGGAAGAGTGTATTGGCTAAATTGCAATTAGTTCCTAAACATTCCATAATGAAGGTGCTCAGATAAAGTTTTGATGGATTTCCCCATGACATTGAAGAGGGAATTTTCTTGGATATTGCACGTTTTCTTGTTGGGGAGAAGATTAATTATTTAAAAGAAATTCCAAGGCATCATCAATACTATCCCATGTTTGGGAACAAAATTTTAATTGACAAATCACTCCTGACCATATCAGATCAGAAAATTCACATGAAAGATATGCCGGGAGAAATTTTTCGGTAAGAAACCATTGAAGATCGAGGACGGAGAAGTAGGTTGTGGTTTTATGACGATTTTCGTCACTCGATGGAAACAAACAAAGTAAGTTCTTCTAATCTTCGAGATCATATAAAAGCGCATGAATTTCAGCATATGTAACTTTTGATGACGACGACGACGACGACTTTTATTCTTAGGTAACTGCAAATACTGAAGCTGTTATCTTGAACCAGGAAGATGCAGAAGCGGTTCCATTGAATGCTAGTTTGTTTTCGAAAATGATCAACCTGAAATTGCTCATAATTTGAAATGTGAATTTTGTTAGTACTCTTGAATATTTTCGGATGAGTTAGTTTACCTTTCTTGGCATAAATATCCTTTCACTCATATACCATCAAATTTTGAACCATATCAACTGGTAGAATTGATCATGACTGATAGCAACATCACGCAACTGTGGGAAGGAATGAAGGTAATGTCATTGTTGTTTATCTATCCCTTTCTTCATCTAATTCAGAACGAGGAAATGTGAACTAAAAAGAGAAAGGTGTTATCGATTTTTCGTACCTTTCTTTCCAATAAAAAGAGTAGAATGAACTTGAGTTCTTCATTTGAAGACTCCAAACTGTTGGCGAGTGTACTGATTTGTCTCACTCCTACTTGATCGCAGATGCTCCCGAAACTAAGAAGCATGAGCTTCCGTGGTTCTAAAAATCTAATTAAGACGCCGGACTTTCGGGGAATATTAAATCTGGAGATGTTAGATCTTGAAGAATGTACGGGATTATTGCAAGTTGATCCATCTATTGAAATTCTTTCAAAGCTCGCATTCTTAAATTTGAAGAATTGCGCAAGTCTTGTCAGCATCCCAAACAATTTAGCTAGAATGAGTTCTCTAAAAACCCTGAAGTTGGATGGCTGCTCAACGCAAGTGAAACTACTTAGCAATCAACATTGCCCATTCTTCGTGAAAATGTTCTGTTATCTCATCATATCATTCCTGATATTCATAAAGAATAATAAGTTGGTATTTTGTAGTCTTATTTGCTGTATTTACTGCATTTTCCTCAGTATGTAAGGTAATATACGTTTTTGAGGACCTGTATCCTTTATCAGAGCATTATTGTAGCTATATCTTGCTTTCCCCTTTTCATGCCTTCCTCTGTATTTATGTATTATGTTATTCAATGAGAATCGGCGCGGAGATTTTGGATTGGAGAGCATCAAAATCTTATATTAGTTATACATGCTTTGAACAGTTTAACGTTCAATATTTTTCGTTAACATTTGATACATGTACATATATTAAACACAATGACATTGTGCAATTTATATAATTGATTTCACTTAATGAGATAAGACGCTTTGAATAGTTTAAAGTTCAATATTTGTCATTAACATTTGATACATGAACATGTATTAAACACAATAATGTTGTGCAATTTGTATAATTGATCTCACTTAGTGAGATAAGACTTCTTTTTCTTTTCCTGTTGTTGTTGCTAGGTGTGTCAAAGATAATCGAATCTCAAATATCTATAAGAAGATCAGACTTATAAAACAGAAGAGTTGGGTTTCTTGGGTCTCCTGCCACAGTTTTACGGATGCAAGTAAATACAAGTTAGTGCAGCAATAGCATAAGAAAATTACATCAGAATAAACAAGCTAGATAAATGATGGAGGATTTGAGAGTCAACGTGCAGAAATTAAGCAAGTTAAAATGCACTGAGAAGGCAGAACAAAGTGCATAAGACATCAGAATTTATTTTTCTTACGCCAGGGCAAAAGTATTTTTTTTCTCTTTCTCAAAAACCTCTCTTCACAATCACAGCTCATCTTTTTTTCTCCCATCCGAACCACACCGTGCCATGTTTTAGAAATAAAAGGTGTATCATCCTTCAAGTATTCGATCAATCTAACAAAATAAAATTAAACCTAATAATTCAAACATGTCAAGTTTATTTTAGGCTCCATTCAGATCATGCTTATTTGAATTAGCCTAAATAAATCTAAACATACAAAAAACCTTGTATAATTAAGTTTGGGCTTAACAATTTAAGCCGGTCTGTAAACTCAATTGTCAAAGATTTTTTTAAAACTAATTTTAATTTATACCTTAAAATTAATTATTATTGTATATTATAAAAAAAATAAACCTTTCAAGACACTTAAAAAATATTAAAAGAATAAATATATTTTTTTACTTCGAAAATCAAGATTAAAAAATATTTTTAAAATTTTAAAAATAACTTTTAATCAGTATTATTTTAACATATCTTAATATTAGTTTCTAATTTTTCTCGTCACTTGTCCTTTCAGTGGTAAATTCAGTTCAATTTAAAAAAAAAAAAAAACGGTGACACACATAGAAACTGAGTTGTGTGTTCGGTTGGATATTAGACAATTCAGCGGCTCGATTTGATAGAAGTCAATTCGAGGATGTGAAGTCTTGAGGTAAATATTTTGGAGAATGGATCATTTGGGGTTTTTTTTTTTTTTTTTTTTGTAGCACCTGGGTCAATTTGCCCTTTTCAGGTTCAATGGAGGGATAAGAAAAAAGTTCCTCCAGTTCAATTTGCTTTAATTATTTTACCTGAATTATCTGCTCTAATTCAGGGGCAATGAATTGGTGGATAAATGAAGCTTAATATATTTTCCCAAAAAGAAAAAAAAAAGAAAAAGAATACTCCAGGATTGGTTTTTGCTTAGCTTTTTCACTTTTAAGGGGAAAACGACAAAGGATAGAAAAACGGCTTTTATTTTTGAATGGATTTGTCTTCGAGAGAACTAGCAGTGATGCTAATATGCTCTATCTACTTTGTCTTCGTTATGCACTTTGTTAGGTTACTGGCTGCTACTAGGTATCACTTCTCTTCAACTGATTCGAGTCTCTGTGTCACTTGCCGCAATAAGAATCTTTTTCACCGGGATCTCTCTAACCAGCTTAAGCATAATGTTTTGGTTCAAGATATTCAATCTTTGTTAGCCTATTTTATTCTCGCAAGCTTCCTTATTTCTAATGATAATTACCTCTTTTCTATATCCCATTTTTCTCCATGGTTTAACTTTTGCATTATATCTTTGTAATATTTTTTTTTTGTACTTTTTTTACTTTATTATATATATATATATATATATATCCAAGACTTCTCTTAAAAGAAAAGGAAAATGGCTTTTTTTATCTCACATAAAAAAAGTCTTTTTCCACGGTGCAAGGATGTTTTTATTTGGTCTCTTAATATACTTATGATTTTTATGATAATTCACCATAAATATTAGCTTATACTACTCATAAATATTTTTTTTTTTTTGGCCAAGGAGAATATATTGGTTTGTTATGATTTTTCCTAAAATTTGTTGAAACAATATTTTATGTTTGTTGGACAAAAACCATATATATATGTATATATATTTTAATAAAGAGTGCCGCCAACCACCAGAACAGATCGTATTCATAACTCATAAGGGCGTCTGATTTTCTTCCTTTTGGTCAATCGTCAACCTTGGGAGATCTCATCGGATTGCCGATTGATATTTCAGGGTTTGACCGAATGTGCCTTTAGTTTTATTCGCTACTTCCAGTCACCGATCAAACACTGAGAGTGAGAAAACAAGGCTGAGGCAGCCGCCGGTTTTCCAAATGGATTTGGGGAGCAGCTCATCATCATCTCGGCGACTCAAATACGATGTCCATATCAGTTTCAGGGGTTCAGACACTCGGCATAGTTTTATCAGTCATCTCTATGCAGCTCTAAAAAGAAAAGGTATAAATACATTCCATGATCTGGAGACCGACATCGGGGTGGATATTGCGGCAAAAGTCCTGGAAGCAATTGAAGGATCTCGAATTTCTATAATTGTCTTCTCAAAAGACTATGCTTGTTCAACATGGTGCTTGGATGAGCTACAAAAGATTATGGAGTGCTGTGCTTTAAACAAACAAATTGTGCTGCCTATTTTCTATCATGTGGATCCGTCTGATGTAAGACGTCAGGGACGGTCTTACTCAGAAGCATTTGCTCAACTTGAAAAAAAAGTCAGATATGATCCATCCAAGGTGGAGAATAGCCATGACACGGGCGGCCAATCTGTCTGGTTGGCATGTGAGTCAATGGTAAGTCATGCTCCCTTGTTAATTTTGACACCGTGAGCATACTGCTTAAGCGAGCAAATTTTTCCTGTTTTCTTGGGTGCTGCTGATTATAGTGCCTTTTTCCCCCTTTTCAGTCCAGAGTCTGGAGTTATTGACAGTGTTGTTAACTATGTAATAAGAAAATTGGGGGGAAAATTCTCTAGTTTTCCTGCTGGCCTTGTTGGAATGGAATCTCGAGTAGAACAATTAATGAAGCTTTTGAATTTAAGATCGAATGATGATGATTAATTGTAGGCATTTGTGGGATGAATGGAATAGGAAAGACGGCTCTTGCTAGAGTTGTTTATGAGATGATCTTTCGCAATTTTGATGCTTGCTGTTTCCTTTCAAATGTGAGTGAGGTTTCTACAAGACACCATGGTCTGTCCCATCTTCAAGAAAAACTTATTCGTCATACTCTGGAGCTGGACGATCTGAAGATAAGGAGTGATCAAGAGGGAACCATCTTACTACTCACTAGGTTAAGAGGTCTTAAGATTCTCTTAGTTCTTGATGATGTTGATCATTTCCAACAACTGGAGAAATTGGCTGGAAAAGCTGACTGGTTTGGAGTTGGGAGTAGAATTATTATAACAACCAGAGACGCACATATCCTTAAAAGGTATAGACTTGGAAAGGATGAAATTTACAAGGCTGAACTATTAAATGATGACGAGGCTAGTCAACTTTTTTGCAGAAAGGCTTTCAAATGTGATTATCCAGAGGAAGTTTACGAGGGCCTGACTTCTAGAGTACTAGAATACGCTAAAGGCCTCCCATTCGCTATTGAATCATTGGCTTCCTCCTTGCTTAAACAAAATGTCTCTGAATGGAGTGGTGTCTTGACCAAACTGCAAAAAATTCCAGACCATTGGACAATGAAGGTTCTTAGAAAAAGTTTCGATGGACTGCCTGACTTGGAAAAAGAAATATTTTTGGATATTGCATGCTTTTTTGTTGGAAAGAAGATTGATGAGGTCAAAGAAATTTTGAGAAACTATAAATCTGATCCTGAGATTGGAATTAAAAATCTCATTGAAAAATCACTGGTGACTATACTGGATCAGAAAATTCGCATGCATGATTTACATCAGAAAATGGGATGGGAAATTGTTCGGCAAGAATCTCCCGACGAACCTGGAAGGAGAAGCAGGTTGTGGCTCCCTGAAGATCTTCGTCATGTTAATGAAGCAAATGTGGTGAGTCATTCTGATAGTTTAATTGATATAAAGTGCTAAAATTCAAGTGACCTAACTTTTCACATACTTTTGGCATTCCTTCTGTTCTGCAGGCCACTGTTGAAGCTATAGCCTTGAACCAGGACGATTTTGAAGGGTTTCCATTGAGGACCAACGTTTTTTCGAAAATGATTCGCCTTAAGCTGCTTGTGATCCGAAATGTCAGATTCTCAGGGAGTCTCAATTTTCTTCCAGAATCTTTAATATACGTTTCATGGTATAAGTATCCATTTCCTTGTTTGCCATCAAGTTTTAAGTCGCAGAGTCTGGTGAAATTGCTCTTGCACGGTGGCAACATTACACAGTTATGGGAAGGCATGAAGGTATCGTTAATGTTGTTTTTTTTCTTCTTGTATGGATATAAAGTAAGAAGCATTCATTTATAAAAACAAAAAGGCATGATTTTCGAGTTAGATACCTTGCATTTCATTCAAATGAATGTCAAATCTTAATAAAAAAGAATATTCGATGCTTGATGATTGGGTTTTGGGTAATACAGGAGCTCCCCAACTTGAGAATGATGAGCCTCATTGATTCAAAATGTCTAATCAAGACGCCAGATTTGCGAGGACTTCAAAATCTTGAGAGATTAGACCTTAAAGGCTGTACTGCATTGTTGCATATCGATCCATCCATTACAGTTCTGCCAAACCTCAAATTCCTAAATTTGAGAAACTGCACAAGTCTGATGAGCATCCCAAACAATTTATTTGGTCAAAAATCAATTGAAATTCTGAATTTGGCAGGCTGCACTAAGCTTGCAGGGTGTTTAGATTTTAATCCTTTGAGGAGCTCATTAGAAGTGAAAGTACTTAGCAATCAGTACTTTTCAATGTTTACAAAATTGCTATATTGTATTATAGCTTTTGTTCTCAGAAGATTAATCAACAATGACTCGTTGCTGAAAGATGTTATTGAAGATGGATGTGCTGCTTCTTGACAATGTTTCAAGCATGTGGACAGAATCAGAGAGCTCAACACACACAAACGGGAGGCTTCGCTTGATCTTATGTGATGCGTTTTCTTTTCCCTGATGTTTTCTTCAATGAACTTTTGTTAGTGTACCATGTTTCGATGCTGTTCAAGTTTTTTCCTTCTTCGTTTTTGTGTCAAATAATAATGAAGCATGGGTTTGTATCCACTCTGTCTTGTGCTTACTTTCGCAAGTTATTACAGTGATCATTTCTTCATCCCATGATGACTTGAGATCAGAGTTCGTGGAGTTCCAGGCTCTCTCGAAGCTCTAATCCTCTTCTGACTTGCAAATATGCTAAGTTGAACATTTTTGTTCTGGACAGATATCCTTCTATTAATTGTTCTTTCATATGAGCGTGCGTGTGTGGGAAGACTACAAAATTTAAATGTTAATATATCTTAATTGAATTGGAAATAAATCTCCTCTTGCTGTTATGATTCTCGATAGTATTGATCAATGATTTCTGTGATAACGAAGCTTCCTCTCTAATTTAAACAAAAATTCTGTAAATATGTATAAATAATTTACTTCTAATTATTCCCATGGTCAAATCTTTCATGAAGAAGAAACATTAAGGCGTGGGGTTAGCACATCGCACCTTTTATGTAGTGCTGTGAGATTTAATATTCATAAGGAGTATAATCTATTATAAATTATATTCTGGACATTCTAAATTTAATATTATTTTTTAAAATTTTTATAAAATTATTAATTACAATTAGAGATCCTGAATTATTAAAATTTCAATAATAAACTATGATCCTTATGTAGAATTAAAAATATATAAATAAGTTTATAAAATTGTTGTTACTTAAAAAATAAAAAGACACTACTAAAATTATAAAATACATGCTTTCATATAGAGTATATTGAAAATAGCCTGTGATACTTACCCATTATACAGAGCAATTGTAATTTGTAATTCTTGAGGTCATTTTCCACAATTTTTTATCAATTAATAATTAAAATTAATTTTTGTTAACAGTACCAGTTACCTTGTACTATTTTCAAAAATTAAGAAGGAGCATTGCATAAAAAATTAATTTAGAATTCCATATGTTTTTGGATCCGAAATTTAAGAGTCAAATTGCTATTTAGCATATAAATAAACCATCCAAAACCCTTCACATTTAAATAAAGCACCTATTAAATAAGAAAAAAAATATGAAAAAATATATTAGTTTAAAAGACAATTAATTAATTTATTAATATTATAATTTAATTAAAAATATTTTATATTTTTCAACGGGATAATATGCACATTCTCATCTTTTCGTGTGCCTCTCTCAACCTGATTATTTGGTGGTTGCTACTGAGAGACTTGACGACATAGGGAGGAGAGAACTATCATGCCAAAACTGAGAGAAGCGCCCAACTTATTTTGCGGATTGGATTAGTGTGTTACGATGAATTATAGTGTTGGAATAACGGAAGCATTCGACTTGGCCTGTTGAGACAACAAATTAAGATAACCCCACAAATGATTGGTGATGAGCTTGCAGGCCTTGTCTATGACTGTTACCTTGTCTATTTGCTTTCCAGCCTAATGGCCTATATTGCTTCGACCCCTGACATACATAAATAAGGAATATGCCCAATAAATTAGAATTTTTGAGATCAATTGAACATGTCATGCATCATTAAAATATAAATAGATTTTATGCAACTTTTAGTTGTAATAAAAATGAATAGAAAGGAGAAAAAATTTTAATAAGTTCAATTTCTAAGCCTAACACATTTAAGCCTTGAAAATATTAAATACTTTATATAAATACTTTGATAATAACAATCAAAGTTTTAGTGCTTTTTTTTCAAAAAATATAATAAATAAAAGTAGGGATATAGTTAAAAAAATAATTTTTTAGTATATTGGGCCTTACATTTTAAATCAAGTAATGCTTTTAAAAAATATCTTATATTATGGTTCAAAGAAAAAAATTTTTAATATTAATTTCATATTCACCACTCACTTTTTAATTTTTACTATAAGTCACATACCCGCCTTATTATAAAACTCTTATAATTTTTTATTTTTAAATATAATAATTAAAAATTATTATATAAAAATAAAAAAGAGGTCGGCATCGACGGTGATTATTATAGAGAGGTTATGTAACCATACTTCGCTAGCTTCATTATTATTTCACAAAAAAGAAAAAAAGGTCAATATGCATCCGCATGACAGCATCAAGTTCATTGACTCCGAATGAATTTGAACTTAAAACATGCTGGTGTGGAAAATTCAACATATGGTTTATGTTGGTAACATTACATTAAATTCCGTTTAAACATGGGACCACATGTAATTATTGAGTTCGTTATTTCGGATACTACTCCAATAAGAAAAGGGTGTGAAATTGCCTATTGATCAATTCCATTTAAATCTATATATAAAAAAATGTATGATTCCCTATATATTTAGGTTTTCGTATTATAGTTAGTTTGGTAAAAGTTGATAATTAAACTCAAAATATTATTTGGTTTTTTACATTTTATGTCGTTGGTTGTTAACGATTCTTAATTAAAGACCAATAATCAAGTTCTGTGTAATTTTCTGGGCTGGATGCCCCATTTTTAGTTTAAAAAAAAAAGGACCAATAATCAAGTGCTGAAGCCGTCAAATTAAAATACTGTTAGCATGGAAGAAGCAATGCAGATAAAAATCACAGCTCAAGATTATACAAGAGAGATGTAGGGCCTGTTTGTTTTTGTTCTTATTTTTTTAGTTTTTTAAAATTATTTTGCAAACCAATTTTTAAAAATTGCTAATTTAAAAATAACTTTAGAGTTAAAAATCCAACCTATAGTAAGAATTAATATTGGTTGATAGTGGTAACTTAGTATAAAGATTAATCATACCCGACAATAATTTCCAATGATCATTGCTTTAAAAATAAAGTAAAATATTTACACAAAACAATTTTTAATTTTTTTAAAAAATAAAAAAAGTTTTCTAAAAAACTAAAAAACAAACTGGTCAAAGTGTGGACTTTTGTATTTCAGTTGTGTTTGGATGGATGGATTTAAGTTGAAAATTTAGATTTAAAATTTCATATTCGAAATCTTACATTTAAAATTCATAGATTCTAAATTCTTTGTTTGGATGATATAAAACATTTTGAATTACAATATTAAAATTTTTTGTTTGGATTTAAAGTAAAATTTTAAATTTTAAATTCTATATTTGAATTTAAAAGAATTTAAAAGAAACTTGGAAGATTAGTCACACTTGATGATTTGAATGGCCAACTTTTAACGGAATTAAACAAACAAAGACGACTAGGATTGTAGCATCAATAAAAATTGGGATGGGACTTTCAACTTTTACTGAGACCGAACCGTCACAACAACAAGTACGGAATGGCTAATCTCCACTAAGACAGGACCAACGAGGATCAAATAGCTGACTTCCATTAGGATCAGACCGACGGCAATGACGAGGACTGGAAGGGCTAACATCTACTAGGACCAGACCAATACTAATAATAGGGACTGGAAGGGTGACTCCTATCGAGATCAAACTGACAGCAACGATGAGGACTGAACGGTTAACTTCCACCGACACCAGACCTACAACAATGGGCATTAAATAGCCAACTTTTATCAGGACCGAAAGGCCGACTTCTACTAAGATCGGATTGACCCTAATGACAGGGACAACACTGTCGAATTCTATTAGGATTGCACCGACCCTAACGATAGGGATCGAACGGCTAACTTCCATTGGCATAGGATCGGACTGACAGTAATTATGACAAAAGGCGATCATCTGGTCCTCACCCAGTGCAAGTTGGACTTGTAGTCCTTGTCATTACCATAGGTTTGGTCTTAGTGAAAATCAGCCCTCCAATTCCCGTCATCATCATCAATCCAGTACCAGTAGAAGTCAGTCGTCCAGTTCCTGTCGTCATCATTGGTTTGCTGTCAATAAAAGTCAATCGTCTGATGCCTATTATCATCATTAGTTCAGTGTCAGTGGAAATCGACCATCTTGTCCCCATTGTCGCTATTGGTTCGATTCTAATAGAAGTTGGCCGCTTAGTCCCCGTCGTGGCCGTTAGTCTAGTCTGATGAAAGTCAACCGTTCGATCCTTGTCATCGTTGTTGATTTGATGCTAATGGAAGTTGGCTATCCAATCCTTGTTTTCATCATTGGTCCGATTTTGGTAGAAGTTAGCCATCCAATCCCTATCATCGCCATCAGTCCAGTCCCTGTAAAAGTCAACCGTCTGATCCTCGTTATCACCGTCAGTATGATCTCAGTAGAAGTTGATAGTCTGGTCCTCATTGTCGTTATTAGTCTGGTCCCCGTTGATCCAGTCTTAGTGAAAGTCTGCCATTCGATCCCCGTAATCACTATTGGTCCGATCTTATTGAAAGTCGACCATCTGGTCTCCATCGTTGGTGTTAGTCTGGTCTCGTGGAAGTCTACTGTCTTATCCCTGTCGTCACCGTCGATTCAATCTCAATGGAAGCCAGCCATCCTATCTTTGTTGTCATCGTCGGTCCAATCCCGGTCAACAGTGGAAACTTGTCTCCGTCAACTTTGGTGATTCGATTCAATTATCGTTGGCAGATTGAATTTAGATTAAATTACAAAAAACTTGAGTTAAAATTTGAAATAATTAGGATTTAGAAAGAATTTTAAATTACAAAGAGATTAAGGGAGAACTTGGATTTGGATCTGAGTTAAATCCAAATTCATATATTTTTAATTATTTAAATAATAGATTTGGCTCAAATTCAAATCCATGTGTATCCAAACATAGTATTAATTTATTTGAAACTTTTTTCTTTTTTCTTATTTTTTAATTTTTTGATTGAATAAGTACAAAAGAAATTAACCACATGTACTGAATAGTACAAAAGTCTTCCTCAACAACGTGCAGCAAGAATGTGGGAGGCTGTTGGAATAGTACACAGCCCTTAGAATTGTTTATAGCTTCACAAGCCAAGGTATCGGCAACTTCATTCACACTTCTTCTGCACCATTTCACCTCAGTCACCTACTCTCAATTTAATAGGCATAACCCTTGAATCTTTAGAAGTAACAGATGTTTGGAATGTACGTTCAATGCCTCTTCATTCAAGGTCTCCATTGCTTTAAGGCTCCACCAGAGCCCTGCTTCCATTTTGAATCCCACGCCTTCCCTAAACCCTATAAGATTGCCCGAAACTTATCATGCGGGCTATTACCTTGGCGAATATGAAACG